ACACCTAAGATTAAACCTAAGATGATTTCTGGCGTCTGCTAGTTTTCTTTTGATTTTCTCCAACCCGCGTGCCAAGACGAAACGTCGGGAAAACTTGCTAAGAAGTACAGATGATGGGTGAGAAACCTTCCTTTGCTTTGACTAATCCCTGTACGACTGAGGGCTTACACAAACTCATAGATAATGTGGTTGAATGGGGATTTGACTGGGGGTTCCGATTCTCGGTGGAAAAAACAAAAATTATGTTCTTCACTAAAAGGAAAGTGAGTGAGACTTTGAAACTAAAATAGTATGATGAGGAAATAGATAAAGTGAGCATGTTCAAGTTTTTAGGAGTTGTGTTCGATTCACGTCTGACGTGGAGTGGTCATATCGATCGGATTGAAACTAAATGCAAAAAAATAATCAATGTTATGAGATGTGTAGCTGGTAGGGAATGGGGAGCAAGGTGTTCTGCTATAAGGGACTATACCAAGGATTAATTAGGTCTATCTTAGACTATGGTTGTGTGGCATACGGGTCAGCAGCTTCTTCAGTTTTGAAAAGATTGGATGTTCTGCAGTCGCAAGCCCTGAGAGTATGTTGCGGAGCTTTTAAAACATAACCAGTCAATGCCTTGCAGGTGGAAATGGGGGAAATGCCTCTGGACCTCAGAAGGAAGCAAATATCTGTGAACTACTGGGTTCATCTTGGATGCCATGGTGACTCACATCCCACAAAAGAGGTGCTTTGGGAGTGTTGGGAATATGGGAAATCAGTGGGCTAAAGACTGTAATGTGTCTGAGTTAAAAATGTGTCCAGTATTAGTGTTCCCTGGTGTTCCTCCATGGTTATTTGTAACCCCTTCTGTGGACTGGTACCTTCTTGAAAAAAAAAAGAAAATGAAAGGGAGAGTGGATCTGGTCGCAGCATTTCATTTTCACAGTTTGGCCGAATACTCTGAATTCACGCATGTGTTCACAGATGGTGCAAAAAATCCAGATCATGAATTTACTGGGTTTGGAATAGCGGTCCCGTCAAAAAATATTGGAATAAACCGACGTACTACTAATGGACTGGCAGTCTATACAGTGGAGATGGCAGCAATTTTGGTTGCACTGAAATGGATCGAGCATTCAAACACCAGGCAGGTAGGAGTGTGTTCTGACTCTGCATCTGTTCTTTCGAGCCTACAAACATTTTGTTCAAAAACAAGGCAGGGTATGTTGTATGATATTTTGATGACTGTATACAGACTAAGTTGTACGGGTAATAATGTCCAATTTCTTTGGGTGCCAGCTCATGTAGGTATCAGTGGAAATGAAAAAGTTGACAGATTGGCAAAAGGAGCGTTGAATAAAAATAAGATTGAAATGGAAATTAAAAGCAGCAAATCTGAAGCAAAAAGTGTTGTTTGGCAACAAGTTGTTAAGGAGTGGCAGAAGCGGTGGGATTCTGGAACTAAAGGCAGGCACCTATATCAGATTAAAAGGTAGTGACTGGGCTTGGAGTGCACAGGGGAAATAGGAGAGAAGAAGTTGTGATCACCAGGCTTAGAGTGGGTCATTGCTCACTAAATAAAACATTACAGATGATAGGTAAACATGAGACAGGGCTTTGTGAATCATGTCAGGAGGAGGAGGAGTCTGTACACAGAGCATGTAATCCTGCGGTGTAAGGGTTATGATGTGGAGAGAGAAGTTTTGAAGAGTAGAATGATGGAACTGAGAAATAGGGAGTTCACTCTGCAGAATGTTCTGGAGTGTAGTAGGGCACAGATTAGAGATCTGGTGGGGTTTCTGAAGGGTATAGGAGTTTTTGATAGAGTATAAGACAAAGGTCTACTGTATGTTGCTTTATTTCTGTATTATTATCAGTGGCGGCCGGCCAATAGAGGGCGCTAGGGCGCCGCCCCACCACTCACAACTTGCCATGTTACCTTGAATAAAACGTTAAAAAAAATAATAACATTAAAATATTTCGAAATGTATGTGTGTTTTATTTCAGATGTGGAAGAAATACTTTATAGTTTATGCTGAGTTGGATTGATTAAGCTCATCAGCGTTGTCTGTGTCGGACTGAGGACGTATTTCCGCCTCAGGGCGCAAAAGATTGCGCCCTGAGCCGTCTATGGACTCTCGTTAAAAGTTGTACATGCGCAGTAGCTCCTCTTCAATGCAAGAGATAAGACGATTTGGGGGCGCAGGAGAAGTGCGCCCTGAGGGGGCGGGATCGCCCGCGACCTGTACTGTCACTGTCTGTGACGTCCGTTTACAGTGATTGACAGGTCAAGCTGTGGGAGTTTGAGACGAACGTAAAGAGACGCAAAATGGAGAACGAGAAAAAGAATAATTCAGTTAGATCACTCAAAACAATACCGTTTGAGAGAAGATCATACCAGGAGAAGGTTGAGGTTAAAGAGCTTGGACCTGATCAGCCAAATATTACCATTAGTCAGCAGTCCAGCGACAGGGGGAGACGGTACACTCGTACTTTTTCCAGGACCTGGTTCAGCGCCAAATCTTGGCTAGCAGCATGTAGCGAGGCTAATGCTTTATTTTGCTTTCCATGCCTCTTGTTTCAAACATCAGGATCTGACCCAGCATGGATCAGGACAGGTATGACTGATCTGAAGCACTTTTTAGAAAAGAAGCATGAGCAGACTGGTATCCACATGCAAAATGCCCTCAAATTAGCTATGTTTGGGAAGATAAATATTTCATCCCAGGCTGCTGGATGAAAGCTACAGGGTAGGGATCAGAAAGCATCCCTACCCTGCTGATATATATCTAGTCATCATATTCATAGCCCCCCCAGTAGAAAATTCCACCAGCCGCCACTGATTATTATTATTATTTTTGTATACATGATTTAGCCTGAGTTCACTGTTTGACCCATACTCCAGAACAGTAGGAGGCGGTAATGCTCCTTTAGCTGGTTGCAAACCGCCGTTAAACAACAAAAAGAAGAAGAAGAAGACTTCCGGGTTTTCTCGGCTCACGCTTCGAAGCGCGGACGCGGCACGACCATCACAAATAAACACATTTATGGGGAAAGGGTACGTTCTGTGCTACAATACTTACTCCAGAATCCTATATTAGATGTGCATTTACTCAAAAATACTCTAAATACAATATAAGTTATAACTAGCAGCGTCTGTGAGCAGACCGTTATTATAATACATCCATGGAGCGGACACATGTGTCTGCTCTGGCCTGTCTTACCTGTGGCAAACTGTCGTTATCTGCAAGCACTTTCTGAAGCTAATGCGTTGGTATCCTCATAACAGCAGTCTGTTGTTTATTGTGAGTGGTCTGTTGTGATGCTGTGGCGTTAGCATCGAAGCTAACACTACAGCATCAGTCATTAGAGCTTTCTGTTCCATGTTGCTTCATTAAACACATTATGTAGCATGTTAGCTTCTGAATGGACCCTACTGTAATAACACCATAGAGAAGGTTTAGCAACATGTCCTTCGAGATAGTACAGATAAAGTTTTACTATTACTTCTGAATCTACAGCTTTTAAGTCAACATATTTTTTTCATATCAGAGTTGAGACCATACGAGTCATGGATTTTTGCAGAGCTGGGTTTAAAGACTCATAAAGAACCTCCAGCACTGAAAGCGGAGCGCCTTGTTCAGAGATCTCCTTTCTCTGGCTGTGATGTCACAAACAGAACCTAAACATTGTTATTTAATAAAGTACTTGAAATTCACTAAGCACCTCCACCTATGGTTCAAAGTCTGGAGCACAGCCTTTTAGTTTCAACATACAGTATATTAAAGGATACTGCAGCCTCTCCCACTCTCCCTGACTCAGGTTGCCAGATATGCAGACGAATCCAGCTGGGACCATAACAGCTGAATAGACAAGAGTTTTGTCAACAACAAATCTATAACCAACTAGAGCCCTGCACGGGCACTGATAGGAACACAGGCCCGGCAAGAGGGCGGAGTCATACATGGTACTGATGTGTTCTGTGTGTGCGGAGTGAACGGCCGCAGCTGTATGATACACAGCTGTATGACACACAGCTGTATGACACACAGCTGTATGACACACAGCTGTATGACACACAGCTGTATGACACACAGCTGTATGATACACAGATGTATGACACACAGCTGTATGACACACAGCTGTATGACACACAGCTGTATGACACACAGATGTATGACACACAGCTGTATGATACACAGCTGTGTTGTCAATGACAACACTAAACAGAACCACAAACACTACATTGTGAACTATATTCAGTGGTGTGTTCGTAAATGTAATCTTCCGCTCTGAGAATGAATAAGAGCCCAAGCCCGGCCCGTGTCCGAGGTCATTATACGGTCATAGGCCCAAAGACCGGGCCCCTCGGGCCTAGGGCTCAAGTGCAGGGCTCTATAAACAACACCTTTTTCACAGGGGCTGTAAAACTAATGTAGTAATTCAAATATCTGAACTACTGTTATCAGTTAAAGAAGTATTGGGAAAATAATGGTTTATTGATGCCTGTGACAGATTAGGGCCCTTTAATGATGACAGATTAGGGCCTTTAATGATGACAGATTAGGGCCTTTAATGATGACAGATTAGGGCCTTTAATGATGACATATTAGGGCCTTTAATGATGACAGATTAGGGCCTTTAATGATGACATATTAGGGCCTTTAATGATGACAGATTAGGGCCTTTAATGATGACAGATTAGGGCCCTTTAATGATGATACATTAGGGCCTTTAATGATGACAGATTAGGGCCCTTTAATGATGACAGATTAGGGCCCTTTAATGATGACAGATTAGGGCCCTTTAATGATGATACATTAGGGCCTTTAATAATGACAGATTAGGGCCCTTTAATGATGACAGATTAGGGCCCTTTAATGATGACTTGATAATCTTACAAATTGCTGCTTTAACCAATCTCCATTTCTTTTTGTGTATTTTTTCTGTTTTCAGGTGATTTGTCTTCATCTTGACCTCCTCGTGCCTTGTGAACTGTGTGTGCTTTAAGTGAAGCCGCTATGGCAGAGAAACGCTCAGTGGGGAAGTTTAGCGTGTCTTCAGACCGAGTGTCCAGGCTCCACAGTGAGGTCTCTGTGCTGGTGTCGCGGCTGCAGAACGCCACGCCCTCCTCCACTATCGAGGGTGGTGACCATGAGACGACAGGGCTGAGGGTGAGGCTGCTGTGGCAGATGCACGTCACTCATTCATATTTTATTTACGCAATACAAGGTTCTATTTTTTGGCCAAAGCGAAAATAATAATGCAAATAATATTCAATGCCATAAATGAATCCCTTGTTCTTATATGAATGTATGAAGTTAATCTTAAGTAACGTTTTGATGCCATTTCCTTGTTCACATGTTTAAAGTTCCTGACATTCTAACCATAACAACAAACTCATTTTTCTTTTATGGGGTCTTATTATAGTTTCCTTCTGTGCCTTTAGTGTTTTGACTGGGCTAGAATTAAAATATGTTCTATTGGATTGCACGCCTGTTTGAATTTACAGTACCAATTTCTGTTTCCCCTCCAGAAGATGTACTGTAAACACTGATATTTGAGACAGAAATGAGACAAAACATTTTAATGAGATAAACATTTTTAGAAGAGCCTTTTAAGTGACTATAGAGGTTTTGCACCACCATGTGACCTACATAGCAACCGTCACTAGGCGGAATTACGGCCGGTATTTAAAAAAAATAGACATCTTTCTCTCGCTCTGAGCGTTTACCACAATTAAAGACGGAGCAAAACTTTCCCATCAGCCTAAGTAAAGGTGCGCTCTCGGCCACTGTGTTGAATCTGACTGTATAAAGTTTCATACCTGCCATCTAACATGGCCGCCTAGTGACGGTTGCTATGTAGGTCACATGGTGGTGCAAAACCTCTATTGGACCCGATGGACACAAATCTGATTGGCTGTTCAGGTTCTCCCTTCTCATCTCACTCCATCAGCTCTAAACCTATGATCATGACAATTACAATACAAATGCTGAATTAGAATTTTAAGGTTACACTTTTTTTTAAGTTTGTGATGTATGCCTGTAGCCAATTCAATTTACTCGTTGCCAGGATTTTAGAGAGTTTACTTTTCAAGGTCTGATTCATCCTTTCAACTCGGCCCTGGGATTGAGGATGGTAGACCGTTCCAAATTTATGTTTTAGCCCCAGATGTTTTTCTACCAATTGCAAGTGTTTGTTCCTGAAATGCGTCCCATTGTCAGACCTTATTAACTGGGGAAAGCCATGCGTTGGGATGTAATGCTGAATTAAGGCTTTGATTACAGAGGCAGCATCCTCTTTTGCAGCAGGATATGCCTCAGGCCATCCCGTAAAGGTGTCAGTGACGACCAACAGGTACCGCTTTCCTGCGCACCTGTTAATCATATCTGTGAAGTCCATCACAACATGTGCCCCAGGCCAAGCAGCAGGTGTGAATTTTCCTGGGGAAACAGCTGAGCAGGGCGATGGGTTATAATTCTGACATATTTGACAGGACCTAGTATAATCTTGGATCATGCTTGTCTTAAAGGGATGCCACCATTGTGACATATTCCTGAGCATCTGTACCTGACCCACATGGGCTAGCCCATGTGCCTCAGATAAAGCCGCTCGTGAGAGGTCCCCCATGGGCAGGGCGGGGCGGCCATCAGGGCCGTACCAGATGCCAGTATCTGGATCCTTCTTTGCCCGTTTTTGAACCCACATGGATATTTCTTCAGGAGCTGCTTTTGTTTGGGCTTCAGCTAAAACCTGAAGGGACAGATCGGGCAGGCAGTCTGCCAGGTCTGGCCCCTCGTCCCGTACCACAAACACTCCTGGAGTACTGACCTTGTAGTTGGCAGCTTTCTTTGCGGCCTCATCCGCCGCCTCGTTTCCCCTGGCCTCAAAGTTGTCTGACTTGGAGTGCCCTTGGCACTTGATGACGCTTACCTGTTTTGGAAGCTGGAGAGCGCTGTCCAGCCTCTCCACCAGGGCTCTATGTGTGATGGGTCGGCCTTTAGCAGTCAAGAAGCCGTTTCTTTTCCACTCGGAGAGGTTGAAATGGACAGCCTGAGTAGCATACGCAGAGTCGGAGTAAATATTTACAGATTTACCTTTAGCAAACTCCAAGGCGGCGCAGAGAGCCTCTAGTTCTGCCGCCTGCGCTGATGGTTTGTCAGTTAAAACACCGCTGTTTACTGTAACAAAATTTTCACCGTTAACACTGACAACTGCATATGCCGCTCTCAGGCTGCCATTCCTCTCTCTCCAGCAACACCCATCTGTGAAAAGCTGTAAGTCGGGGTCCTGAAGTGGGTCAGTCTGGAGGTCAGGTCGCACTTTCAGACTGTCTATTACCCTTACACTGCAGTCATGCGGCTCACCCTGTCTTGGCATGTGGTCAGCCATGTTAATGCCAAGAGGTGTAAAAGTTATGTGGGGCTGAGTGAGCACCTGTAAGAGCCGTGACTGTCTCAAAGGTGACATAGTGAATGCAGCTGAGGACACATATGCACAAACGCCATGATCAGTCAATATTTCTAAAGCATGCCCCATGACTAAATGTGCTGTTTTCTTAATCAAATGTCCCACTCCTGCAGCATACCTAGAACAGTCAACCTGTCTAGCCTCGATTGAATCCAATGGAACGCTAATATACTGTAAGATTTTTCTCTGGCCTCTGCACTTTTGATATAACACCCCGTTAGCTACCTGAGACTGCACTGTGGCATCTAAATAAAACGGGAGAGCATAATCTGGTGAAGCCAAATGAGCCGCAGAGGATAGGTCCTGTTTGAGTGAGATAAACTGTGCCTCACTATCTCTGTCGCAATTCAGTTTAGCCCTTGTGTTTCTCATGCCATGTTCATTAACTAAAGCTCTTAAAGGTTTAGTTTTGTCTGCAAAATCTGCCACATAGTGTCTGCTATAGCCTATCAGACCCAGGAAGGACAACATGTCCCCCACCATGGTGGGTCTGGGATATGACAAAATAGCATCTCTGTGCTCTGGAGACATATTTGTGGATCCTCCAGACACACTACGTCCCAGGAAGGTCACCGCAGGCCTGCAACATTGTAGCTTTTCCTTACTGACCTTAAATCCTTTTGAATGTAAGAAGACTATAGTGTCCCTAGTGGCTTGTAGACAGGCCTGCTCCGTTCTCGAGGCGAGGAGGAGATCGTCCACATACTGTAGGAGTACCACGCCCTCCGGAAGCACCAACTCTCTCAGCAGAGCGTTCAAAGTCTGATTAAAAATTCCCGGGGAGCATTTATGTCCCTGGGGAAGACGGGTGTAACGCAGTTTTTGGCCCCTGTGAGTAAATGAGAAGAAATCTCTGCTTTCCTCTGCCAGGGGAATACAGAAAAATGCATTAGCCAAATCCATAACAGTAAAATACTGGAGGTCTGGTGACAGTGATGACAGCATTGTATAAGGGTTTGGGACCGGGAGACACTGAGTTAATGTTAAATCATTTATTTTTCTCAAATCATGGACCATTCTATATTTATTCTGACCTGTTTTTGGCACAGCTAGAGTGGGCGTGTTCCACTCTGATTTTGATGGCTCGAGGACTCCCACTTTCGTAAGTCCCTCTATCACCTGTGAGATACCCTCGACAGCGTCTGGTTTGGCGGCATACTGCTTTATGCGAATCGGGCCTCCTGGCTTCATCTGTAAAGACACAGGAGGGAAAGAGGTGCACAACCCCACGTCCGTGGGACCTTGGGACCAAACTTCTGCAGGCACCTGTTTCAATATTTCATGCGTATCATCATGATCTGTCATGTGTCTACCATGATGTCTGGTCAATGTTTCGTGCTCCACTTCCCCTGTGTCTATCATATTTGCTTTTATCCTGTATGACTTATTTTCAATGCTGTACTGCACATGAGGGAGTTGGGTGTCAGACCAATCGTCAGCTTTTACCAGTCTCTTTACCATTGGACCTAAAGCTCTAGCCTCGTGACCAGGGTGTACAGCCAAGGTGATGTGTGGGACAGCAGAGGAAGACATGTAATACCACTCACACTGTTCAGGAAGCAGCCGTGTATGGGCCGCCACACCCTCAGGCCCAATATAAATGTAATCTGATTCTAATGTCCACCTATCACTTTCAATTTGTTTGAATTGTTCTCTGTACATTAAGTCTTGGTCTCTGTCATAGAATAATGTCAAGTGGGCAGGGTCCAGTGGGAGGTGGTAGGAGGCCAAAGAATTTATCCAGGGTTTCCACTTGAAGAAGACGGAATGCACACCATTATTGTCCGTGGACTTGTTTTCTGGGTCCAGTCTCACCCAGTATATGTCTGCATACTGGTCTGGCATCTCTTCTCTCAGAAGCCAGCAGGAGTCCATCGATACACCGGTCACACATCTGTAAATTTGTCCCCCTGGAAAAGTCACTTGTAGACCATCCGGTCCACATAGAATTGACGCATTGGTTTTAGTCAATAAGTCTCTTCCCAGCAGGTTGACAGGTGTTTTAGGAGCATTTACAAAAGAATGCCACAGTGTCTGTGTTCCAATCTGTGTCTTTAAACGTTTAGTGAGTGGCAGTACCTCAGGTGTCCCAGAAAATCCAACCAGGGTGATGTGCTCCTCAGAGAGCAGGACAGGGCGTATCTTTGTATTGATGGTAGAGTAGGTGGCGCCAGTGTCCACCAGGGCCATCAGGTTGTCGTCCTCCACCCTTATGGGGAGCATAGGCTCTGCTGGTACCTTGTCCCCTGGATTTCCTAAGCAGCCCTAGTAAGATTGTTCATGTTCATACTCGCCCCAGTAGTTCCCATGCTGGAAATATTGTCCATCTCTCGGGGCCAGGTTGTCATTCGGAGCCGTCCATGGGGAGGGAGGGCCTGCGCGCTCTGGTCTGGGTCCCATGCCTCTCTGGGGGCCCCTCCCACGCACCATCTCAGGCGCTCCATGGTAGTAGGAGGCCTCTCCTCCAAAGGGGCAGTCCCTCGCCCAGTGACCGTGCCTGTAACAGAGGTGACACACATCCCTGCCCCCTTTCCAGCTTCCACCCCTTCTTCCTCCCCGGCCCCCACGCCCACCACCTCTGGCCCCTCCCCTTGTCCAGTCCTGTCGTGGTTGAGTCGCAGGTCCAGCAGGCATATTAGTCATCTGATTACTGGTTCCTTTTTTATTTTGTGTGGCTTTATTTCTCGCTTCACTAAGCTGTAACTTCAAAAGTTGACAAGTCATATCTTCAACACTCTTTCTTTCTTTAGTTTTATTTTCAACATATCGCTTAATGTGAAAGATTAAATTTGTTTTCCACTGTGCTGAATCCGGGTTAATATTATCTGGGTTGTCTTCAATCTTTGAGCGTATTGTTTCTGGTAAACCATTCAAAATAGCTGCTCTAAAAGGCATGATGACTTCACTGACCTTGTGAGGGTGTCTTCCTACTGTGTCCATCCACTTGGTCACACTCCTGTCATAAAATACAATTGGGTCCTCAGACTCCAGCCAAGTTAACTCACGAGGGGCAGAAGACAGCGGGGTTGGAAAGTTCTCCCTCAGTGCTTCATACCAGGCATTTGCATACTGGCCAAATCTGGAAGAATCACAAACATCAGCAGTACCAGCTTGTCTTTCAATAGCATCTCTCTCCCATGGTTTACTGCATGCTGCCAACACTGCCCGGACGTCACCCATCGCGACATCATGACCTGTAAACCATGTGTTCAGACTGGAAATCCAGTTTCCAGCTCCCTGACACAATGGAGGCATTTTGTCTTTTATAGTCTGCATGTCACTTACAGAAAAAGGATGGTACTCCCCAGCTGCGCCTCGTCCTGGTCTCAGAGGGAACATGGATTTTGTCTGAGACCTGGTTCTGCTTGCCACCGGTCTAGTTTCCCCAGGCTCCCGGTCTCCGTCATCACTACTATCGTCAGAAGAGAATTTAGCTCCTTTTTTAGCCTGTTTAGCTTTAAGTATTGGCTGGGCCATGGCACCGTCTCCCTTTTCATTTTCACTGTCCGTCCTAGTCATGGCTCTGCGTGCGGCTTTATTAATTAATTTTGCATTCTCCTGTCTAGCGGTCTCGTAATCATGGGTCCTACTTGGGGTTTCTTCTCCCTCAACTCTGTCTGTGGTGCATTCAGAGGTCGGTTTCCTAGCTCTAATATTTCTGAGAGAGTGCAGGAGCAGCTCCTGCACCTCTTGGATGGGTGGGGGTTGGTGAGGGGTGTGTGGGGAGCTGTGGCGGGCTGCTGACAGCTGGATTTTGACTCGGATCTCTATTGTCCCCCACAGACTCCTGTTCTGTCCCTTCGTCAAATTCACTGTCTACAAAGTCATTGTCCCCTCTCTTTCCTACCGCCACTTCTCCTGAAAATGTATATTGTGGCAATATTAGATTTGGCTTACCTGGTTCTAAACCTAGAGAATATTTTGGTGGAGCCGTGGGTAGGGATGGGTATATATTACTCACCGGCATTGCTCCGTTTTCTGTTTCCTTGTCTTTACTTACCATCGGTAATTTTGCCAACGCCGTGGCAGCCAAAGCAAAATTATGTACCTTGGTCCTCAGTTTCTCAGCCTTTTTTAGTTCCTTCTTAATTTTTCTACGCTCATTCCAACTCTCTCCCTGCTTTCCCTCAAGCTCAAGTTTATGCTGTTTTAAATTATTTTCCTCTTCCCGCAATATCTTAGCCAATGCGGACGCTGTCATATACTCAGGTATGACCCTTTTGTTCTGTATTTTTTCCCATGCTTTCACAGCCTTTCGTTTTGCCTTGTTCCTATATTTTTTATCCAGACCACTCAGAATCTGAGCCTCTATTTCTCTATATAGCTGCTCGATTGGAATGCCTGTCTCCATTTTTCGGGGGGGCCCAAAATTCCCCCAGGTTCCAATGGGTTAAACCTAACTTGTGTGTTGACGCGTCCGTCAACCACGCTAGTCACAGCGGGCTTTCCTGTTTCTGGCAAGGCTTCTCAAAAAATCTTTACTTTTAATATATTCTCGCAGGGTTCTAGCTACTTAGACTCCTATTTTATTTAATTTTAACGTATTTTCGCAAGGCTCTCACTACTTTTTAGGCTTTTACTATTTTTACTTTTGAATTAGCTCCTCCGTGGACAAAACTTCTCTCCCCTTAATTTGTGTAGTCCAATATGCAGATTTTTAATTAGTCAAAAGGTATCTGCTTACCTTCAAATCAGCGGCCGCTTTGAGGAGAGATGCAGAGTCCAAGGGAGAGGTTGAAAGTCATCAAAGGGATCACGTCGAGGGTCACCAATTATTATATTAAAAAATGACGTGTTCAAAATCCCTTATAAAGATGACCATGATTCAGGAAGTTAAATTCAAAAAGGTTTATTTCCCTAATACAAAAAGAATCTAAAACAGCTGTTCGGACCAAAAGTAACTATCCCTTATTCTCTATATAAAATATAAAAGTATGATTTTGGTGGGCGCTCCACGCAAATCACACTCCTGTCCCTGGTCCGGTCTAGACTAACACAAGCATGAGGTTATTATAAGTAAATGTGCATGAAGAAGGGGGCGTGTCGTATCAGGCAGATCTCTGGTCCAAGGTCCGGCCTTTTCCTCCGTCTCGCCAAACCTGAACAGAAATCATTCACGCACTACCCCTCCCTAATTCTATAGATTTATTAGTTCCTTTGAGATAAGGCAGAGGGATCTCAAGGCTTCTCCTCCAGATTCTGGACTCCATCTCCTTCTTTCACAACTTGAAAGGATTAGCAGAATCCCCCCAGATTAACTATCATTAACTCACCCATGCACTTTGGACAAAATGGGACCAGGGGAGTTGGGCAATACAAGGTCTTTCTTTTTGCTTGGAGACAGACAGAGTTCAATTTCAGGTCAATCTAATTCACATGCCTTTTAGCCTATATTTAATACAACAGAGGCCAGAAAGAGAGACCAGGGAGAGACCAGAGAGAGACCAGGGAGAGACCAGGGAGAGACCGGAGAGAGACCGGAGAGAGACCAGAGAGAGACCAGAGAGGGACCAGAGAGGGACCAGAGAGGGACCAGAGAGGGACCAGAGAGGGACCAGAGAGGGACCAGAGAGGGACCAGAGAGGGACCAGAGTGGGACCAGAGAGGGACCAGAGTGGGACCAGAGAGGGACCAGAGAGTGACCAGAGAGAGACCAGGGAGAGACCAGGGAGAGACCAGAGTGAGAGACCAAAGAGAGAGACCAGGGAGAGACTAGACCAGAGAGAGGCCAGAAAGAGAGACCAGAGAGAGACCAGGGAGAGACCAGGGAGAGACCAGGGAGAGACCGGAGAGAGACCAGAGAGAGACCAGAGAGGGACCAGAGAGGGACCAGAGAGAGACCAGAGAGAGACCAGAGAGAGACCAGAGAGAGACCAGAGAGAGACCAGAGAGAGACTACACTTTTCGTACATCTTTCTATTCTCTGTCGTCCTCTCTCTTAGTTTCACGTTGAACTTAAAGGGTTAAACACTCGTTAGCTCAGGGTTAGCATGGTACCTGCTTTAGCTCCCACACCAGCACAGTCCAAACCAGGCCGAAGCGTTCCGAGCTGATGTATTCCATGTATTATTCCATCTTTACCCCTGTCCGTTGTGTGTGTTGCAGGCAGTAGTTTTGTGGTGCCCATGGGCAGCTCCCTGGACGTGTCCAACTGGCTGAACCCGGCCAGACTGACCCTGTACCAGCAGAACCACACCTCCTCCCACTGGGTCCAGGATCACTGCGGTCAGAGGACCACGGAACCCTGCGAGCAGCTGTGTGAGGAGGACACAGGTGAGTCTGCGGCTGTGTGTGGACTAAACCAGGACTAAACCAAGACTAAACCAGGACTAAACCAAGACCAAACCAGGACTACACCAGGACTAAACCAGGACTAAACCAGGACTAAACCAGGACTAAACCAGGACTGAGGATGTGGTCAGTGCTTGTGAACATGTGTCTTTATCCTGAGTTTCTTCTATGACTGTGAAAGTGCTGCTACAGAAGCACCGGCGTCGGCATCAAAGCTCCGCCCCGCAAATTATTTTCATAAACGGAGCGGGGAAAATATTTGGTTTTTAAAATACCCGGCTTCGTGTGGACATGGCCTGAGTCTGCATCTGTGTCTGAGTCTACAGCTGTGTCTGAGTCTGCAGCTGTGTGTGAGTCTGCATCTGTGTCTGAGTCTACAGCTGTGTCTGAGTCTGCATCTGTGTCTGAGTCTACAGCTGTGTCTGAGTCTGCAGCTGTGTGTGAGTCTGCATCTGTGTCTGAGTCTACAGCTGTGTCTGAGTCTACAGCTGTGTCTGAGTCTGCAGCTGTGTGTGAGTCTGCATCTGTGTCTGAGTCTACAGCTGTGTCTGAGTCTGCATCTGTGTCTGAGTCTACAGCTGTGTCTGAGTCTGCAGCTGTGTGTGAGTCTGCATCTGTGTCTGAGTCTACAGCTGTGTCTGAGTCTGCATCTGTGTCTGAGTCTACAGCTGTGTCTGAGTCTGCAGCTGTGTGTGAGTCTGCAGCTGTGTGTGAGTCTGCAGCTGTGTGAGTCCGTAGCTGTCTGAGTCTGCAGCTGTGTGTGAGTCTGCAGCTGTAGGTGAGTCTTCAGCTGTGTGTGAGTCTGCAGCTGTGTGTGAGTCTGCAGCTGTGTGAGAGTCTGCAGCTGTGTGAGAGTCTACAGCTGTGTCTGAGTCTGCATCTGTGTCTGAGTCTACAGCTGTGTCTGAGTCTGCAGCTGTGTGTGAGTCTGCAGCTGTGTGTGAGTCTGCAGCTGTGTGTGAGTCTGCAGCTGTGTGTGAGTCTGCGGCTGTCTGAGTCTGCAGCTGTGTGTGAGTCTGCAGCTGTGTGAGTCTGCAGCTGTGTGAGAGTCTGCAGCTGTAGGTGAGTCTTCAGCTGTGTGTGAGTCTGCAGCTGTGTGTGAGTCTGCAGCTGTGTGAGAGTCTGCAGCTGTGTGAGAGTCTACAGCTGTGTCTGAGTCTGCATCTGTGTCTGAGTCTACAGCTGTGTCTGAGTCTGCAGCTGTGTGTGAGTATGCAGCTGTGTGTGAGTCTGCAGCTGTGTGTGAGTCTGCAGCTGTGTGTGAGTCTGCGGCTGTCTGAGTCTGCAGCTGTGTGTGAGTCTGCAGCTGTGTGAGTCTGCAGCTGTAGGTGAGTCTTCAGCTGTGTGTGAGTCTGCAGCTGTGTGAGAGTCTGCAGCTGTGTGAGAGTCTGCAGCTGTGTGTGAGTCTGCGGCTGTGTATGAGTCTGCAGCTGTGTGTGAGTCTGCAGCTCTGTGTGAGTCTGCGGCTGTGTGAGTCTGCAGCTGTGTTTGAGTCTGCAGCTGTGTGTGAGTCTGCAGCTGTGTGTGAGTCTGCAGCTGTGTGTGAGTCTGCAGCTGTGTGTGAGTCTGCAGCTGTGTGTGAGTCTGCAGCGGTGCCAGAGAAGAACACAGCATCATAATCATTTGCATTCCTTCTCTCTGTCTCCTCCTGGGCTCCTCTCTGGGAGGTGTTCAGTTCGCGTCCCACAGGAGGAGACCATGTTTTAGAGGCTGTCGAACACAATGAGTTTCAATTTGTAAGAACTCCATCCATCCATTTTCTTCCGCTTCATCCGTTGCCGGGTCTCGGGGGCAGCAGTCTAAGCAGAGACGCCCAGACTTCCCTCTCACACACTTCCTCCAGCTCGTCCAGAGGGACCTAAGGCGTTCCCAGGCCAGAGAGAGACATAGTCCCTCTGTGTCCTGGGTCCTCCCCGGGGTCCATAGAGACAGTGACCCGTGCACCGGGACCAAGTCTGACCCATGCACCGGGACCAAGTCTGACCCATGCACCAGGACCAGGTCTGACCCGTGCACCGGGACCAAGTCTGACCCATGCACCGGGACCAGGTCTGACCCGTGCACCGGGACCAAGTCTGACCCATGCACCAGGACCAGGTCTGACCCGTGCACCGGGACCAAGTCTGACCCATGCACCGGGACCAAGTCTGACCCATGCACCAGGACCAGGTCTGACCCGTGCACCGGGACCAAGTCTGACCCATGCACCGGGACCAGGTCTGACCCGTGCACCGGGACCAAGTCTGACCCATGCACCGGGACCAGGTCTGACCCGTGCACCGGGACCAGGTCTGACCCGTGCACCGGGACCAAGTCTGACCCGTGCACCAGGACCAAGTCTGACCCGTGCACCGGGACCAGGTCTGACCCGTGCACCGGGACCAGGTCTGACCCGTGCACCGGGACCAAGTCTGACCCGTGCACCGGGACCAAGTCTGACCCATGCGCCGGGTCCAGGTCTGACCCATGCACCAGGACCAGGTCTGACCCGTGCACCGGGACCAAGTCTGACCCATGCACTGGGACCAGGTCTGACCCGTGCACCGGGACCAAGTCTGACCCATGCACCAGGACCAGGTCTGACCCGTGCACCGGGACCAAGTCTGACCCGTGCACCGGGACCAGGTCTGACCCGTGCACCGGGACCAGGTCTGACCCGTGCACCGGGACCAAGTCTGACCCATGCACCGGGACCAAGTCTGACCCGTGTGGGAACTGTGCTTTAGAATCATCATGGAATCGTCCTGTTTACTGATATTATGATAGAAGTGTGAGGTCCTCCTCCTCTTCCTCTTCCTCCTCCTCTTCCTCCTTCTCTTCCTCTTCCTCCTCCTCCCCCTCCTCTTCCTCTTTCACCTCATCCTCCTCTTCCTTCTCTTCCTCCTCCTCTTCCACCTCCTCCTCCTCTTCCTTCTCTTCCACTTCCTCCTCCTCTTCCTTTTCCACCTCCTCTTCCTTCTCTTCCTCCTCTTCCTTCTCTTCCTCCTCCTCTTCCTCCTCTGCCACCTCCTCTTCCTCCTCCTCCTCCTCTTCCTCCTCCTCCTCTTCCTTCTCTTCCTGCTCCTCTTTTAGCTTCTTCCTCTTCCACCTCCTCCTCCTCTTCCTTCTCTTCCTCCTCCTCTTCTTTCTCTTCTTCCTCCTCCTCTTCCTCCTCCTCCTCTTCCTCTTCCTCCTCTTCCACCTTCTCTTCCTTCTCTTCCTCTTCCTCCTCTTCCTCTTCCACCTCCTCTTCCTTCTCTTCCTCTTCCTCCTCTTCCTCTTCCACCTCCTCTTCCTTCTCATCCTCTTCCTCCTCCTCCTCTTCTTCCTCTTCCTCTTCCTCTTCCTCCTCCTCCTCTTCCACCTCCTCTTCCTTCTCTTCCTCTTCCACCTCCTCTTCCTTCTCTTCCTCTTCCACCTCCTCTTCCACCTCCTCTTCCTCCTCCTCTTCCTCCTCTTCCTCCTCCTCCTCTTCCTCCTCCTCCTCTTCCTCCTCTTCCTCCTCCTCCTCTTCCTCTGAGTGGCAGCTGTCCCACTCGTCTCTCTGCAGTAGATAAGGTGGAGCTCATTATAATGGATTACATCTGTAGTGTCCAGGAATCTGCATCTCTGTGGTCAAGGGCAGCGCCGGCTCATGCATAATGTAGAGAGGCACTGAGGAAGAGGAGGAGGAGGAGGAGGAGGGGGAGGAGGAGGGGGGAGGAGGTAGATTCAGTTCACTAGATTTGTTTGTTCACCTGTGGCTCTGCACCTGTGGCTCTGCACCTGTGGCTCTGCACTGCACAAAGTGATGAAAAATGTGTCTTAGTCGGACTCGTTCTGACTGAAAACTAGATTCCGGGAAAAAGACATTTAGTTTGGTTTGAAAAACGGCAACTTTCTTCCTCAGTCCAAAGAAGACATTTTTGTATCTTCATAAAACCAGATCCTTCGGTTTTGTCCCGTTGGAGAATCTGGTTTAAAGTCTCAGTCAGAATGTGTCGGATTATGACACATTGTAAGTTGCCATTGTGTATAAAATTAATTAAAACAATGTGTAAACCTAATACCTAAAAGACCAGAGGACCACAGACCAGAGAATATGGGTCTCTGGTCTCTCTCTGGTCTCTCTCTGGTCTCTCTCTGGTCTCTCTCTGGTCTTTCTCTGGTCTTTCTCTGGTTTCTTTCTGGTCTCTCTCTGGTCTTTCTCTCGTCTCTCTCTGGTCTCTCTCTGGTCTCTCTTGTCTCTCCCTGGTCTCTCTGGTCTCTCTCTGGTCTCTCTGGTCTCTCTCTGGTCTCTCTCTGGTCTCTCTCGCTGGTCTCTCTCGCTGGTCTCTCTCTGGTCTCTCTCTGGTCTCTCTCTCTGGTCTCTCTCTCTGGTCTCTCTCTGGTCTCTCTGGTCTCTCTCTGGTCTCTCTGGTCTCTCTGGTCTCTCTCGCTGGTCTCTCTCTGGTCTCTCTCTGGTCTCTCTGGTCTCTCTGGTCTCTCTCTGGTCTCTCTCTCTGGTCTCTCTCTGGTCTCTCTCTGGTCTCTCTCTGGTCTCTCTCTGGTCTCTCTGGTCTCTCTCTGGTCTCTCTCTGGTCTCTCTGGTCTCTCTCTGGTCTCTCTGGTCTCTCTCTGGTCTCTCTCTGGTCCCTCTCTGGTCTCTCTCTGGTCTCTCTCTCTGGTCTCTCTCTGGTCTCTCCCTGGTCTCTCTGGTCTCTCTCTGGTCTCTCTCTGGTCTCTCTGGTCTCTCCCTGGTCTCGCTGGTCTCTCTCTGGTCTCTCTCTGGTCTCTCTGGTCTCATAATAAAACAGATATAACACAATAGAAAACATCACTATCCGTCGACTTTGGGAAAATATATTTGTGAAAAATCTGTGTTTTTTAGTTTAAAAACCGCAGCAACAGAACAATTAAAACAGAGACTTTCAGGTAAACTTTTTCCGGGGAGACTTTCCCGTTTCTGTTGTTGTTAAACTTCTCCGACTGTGCCGTCTCCGTCCTTCACCGGTGTTGTTTACTCCAAACTTCTTCACAAAGGAGTTTTCTGGGTCCTGGAGAGTCTGGTCTGGACCGGGCTCTGCCTCAGACCCGGACCCCCGGCGGTCTCGGGTCTGTTTGGATCCAGGAGAATGCAGGGGTCACTGTTTGTTTTTCTCCCTGACCCCTGCACTGACCACGGCGCCGCCATTAAACCCACGGTAAACACACACACGGCGCTCTGGCGGCGAGCGATATCCAGCGGCGTGTCGGTAACCACGGCAATCACCACACACTTTCAGAGGAGACTAGAAGGAGACCGGAGGAGACTAGAAGGAGACTAGTGGGAGACTCGAGGAGACTCGAGGAGACTCGAAGGAGACTAGAAGGAGACTAGAAGGAGACCGGAGGAGACTGGAGGAGACTAGAGGAGACTGGAGGAGACTAGAAGGAGACTGGAGGAGACTGGAGGAGACTTAAGAAGACTAGAAGGAGACTGGAGGAGACTAGAGGAGACTGTAGGAGACTGTAGGAGACTAGAGGAGACTGGAGGAGACTGGAGGAGACTGGAGGAGACTGGAGGAGACTAGATGAGACTGGAGGAGACTAGAAGGAGACTGGAGAAGACTAGAAGGAGACTGGAGGAAAATGGAGGAGATTAGAAAGAGACTGGAGGAGACTAGAAGGAGAATGGAGAAGAGTGGAGGAGACTAGAAGGAGACGGGTCGAGACTAGAAGGAGACGGGTCGAGACTAGAAGGAGACTGGAGGAGACTAGAAGGAGACTAGATGAGAATGGAGGAGACTAGAAGGAGACTGGAGAAGACTAGAAGGAGACTAGAGGAAAATGGAGCAGATTAGAAAGAGACTGGAGGAGACTAGAAGGAGAATGGAGGAGAGTGGAGGAGACTAGAAGGAGACGGGTCGAGACTAGAAGGAGACTGAAGGAGACTAGAGGAGACTGTAGGAGACTAGAAGGAGAATAGAGGAGACTGGAGGAGACTGGAGGAGACTAGAAGGAGACTAGAAGGAGACTAGATGAGACTGGAGGAGACTAGAAGGAGACTGGAGAAGACTAGAAGGAGACTAGAGGAAAATGGAGGAGATTAGAAAGAGACTGGAGGAGACTAGAAGGAGAATGGAGGAGAGTGGAGGAGACTAGAAGGAGACGGATCGAGACTAGAAGGAGACGGGTCGAGACTAGAAGGAGACTGAAGGAGACTAGAGGAGACTGTAGGAGACTAGAAGGAGAATAGAGGAGACTGGACGAGACTGGAGGAGACTAGAGGAGACTGGAGGAGACTAGAAGGAGACTAGAAGGAGACTGGAGAAGACTAGAAGGAGACTGGAGAAGACTAGAAGGAGACTAGAGGAAAATGGAGGAGATTAGAAAGAGACTGGAGGAGACTAGAAGGAGAATGGAGGAGAGTAAGTAAGTAAGTAATCTTTATTTATACACCGCCTTTTCACTGCAGATCTGAGTCTCAAAGCGGTTTACAATTGTTAATTATGGGCATTTGTCTCTCACTCCACACAGAGATGGGAGCGGGGTCGCCAGTACAGGAGGCGCATGCTAGAACTATTGGACATATTTTTAGTGGTAGGGGAAACCGGAGTACCCGGAGGAAACCTACGCAGACACGGGGAGAACATGCAAACTCCACTCAGAAAGGCACTGGTCCGACCGGGATTCGAACCCAGGACCTTCTTGCTGAGAGGCGAGAGTGCTATCCACTCAGCCACCGTGCCGCCCGGTAGTGGAGGAGTGGAGGAGAGTGGAGGAGACTAGAAGGAGACGGATCGAGACTAGAAGGAGACGGGTCGAGACTAGAAGGAGACTGAAGGAGACTAGAGGAGACTGTAGGAGACTAGAAGGAGACTAGAGGTGACTGGAGGAGACTAGAAGGAGACTAGAGGAGACTGGAGGAGACTAGAAGGAGACTAGATGAGACTGGAGAAGACTAGGAGACTAGAGGAAAATGGAGGAGATTAGAAAGAGACTGGAGGAGAGTGGAGGAGATTAGAAGGAGACGGGTCGAGACTAGAAGGAGACGGGTCGAGACTAGAAGGAGACTGGAGGAGACTAGAAGGAGACTAGAGGAAAATGGAGGAGATTAGAAAGAGACTGGAGGAGACTAGAAGGAGAATGGAGGAGAGTGGAGGAGACTAGAAGGAGACGGATCGAGACTAGAAGGAGACGGGTCGAGACTAGAAGGAGACTGAAGGAGACTAGAGGAGACTGTAGGAGACTAGAGGAGACTGTAGGAGACTAGAAGGAGAATAGAGGAGACTGGAGGAGACTGGAGGAGACTAGAAGGAGACTAGAAGGAGACTAGATGAGACTGGAGGAGACTAGAAGGAGACTGGAGAAGACTAGAAGGAGACTAGAGGAAAATGGAGGAGATTAGAAAGAGACTGGAGGAGACTAGAAGGAGAATGGAGGAGAGTGGAGGAGACTAGAAGGAGACGGATCGAGACTAGAAGGAGACGGGTCGAGACTAGAAGGAGACTGAAGGAGACTAGAGGAGACTGTAGGAGACTAGAAGGAGACTAGAGGAGACTGGAGGAGACTAGAAGGAGACTAGAGGAGACTGGAGGAGACTAGAAGGAGACTAGATGAGACTGGAGAAGACTAGGAGACTAGAGGAAAATGGAGGAGACTAGAAGGAGACTGGAGGAGAGTGGAGGAGATTAGAAGGAGACGGGTCGAGACTAGAAGGAGACGGGTCGAGACTAGAAGGAGACTGGAGGAGACTAGAAGGAGACTGGAGGAGACTAGAAGGAGACTGAAGGAGACTGGAGGAGAATGGAGGAGACTAGAAGGAGACTGGAGGAGACTAGAAGGAGACTGTAGGAGACTAGAGGAGACTGTAGGAGACTAGAGGAGACTGTAGGAGACTAGAGGAGACTCTAGGAGACTAGAGGAGACTGTAGGAGACTAGAGGAGACTGTAGGAGACTAGAGGAGACTCTAGGAGATTAGAAGGAGACCGGAGGAGACTGTCGCTTCTAAGACACTGAGAAGCGAGAAGCAGAGATAGTGTGGAAGATAATAATACTGCAGAGTGTTTGTCCATGAGTATGTAGTGTATTTTGGCACACAGGTACAGGATGTAAACAGAGACACAGGTGCAGGATGTAAACAGAGACACAGGTACAGGATGTAAGCAGAGACACAGGTGCAGGATGTAAACAGAGACACAGGTACAGGATGTAAACAGAGACACAGGTACAGGATGTAAGCAGAGACACAGGTGCAGGATGTAAACAGAGACACAGGTACAGGATGTAAACAGAGACACAGGTACAGGATGTAAACAGAGCCACAGGTGCAGGATGTAAACAGAGCCACAGGTACAGGATGTAAACAGAGACACAGGTACAGGATGTAAACAGAGACACAGGTGCAGGATGTAAAGAGACACAGGTACAAGATGTAAACAGAGACACAGGTACAGGATGTAAACAGAGACACAGGTACAGGATGTAAACAGAGACACAGGTGCAGGATGTAAACAGAGACACAGGTACAGGATGTAAACAGAGACACAGGTACAGGATGTAAACAGAGCCACAGGTGCAGGATGTAAACAGAGCCACAGGTACAGGATGTAAACAGAGACACAGGTGCAGGATGTAAGCAGAGACACAGGTGCAGGATGTAAACAGAGCCACAGGTGCAGGATGTAAACAGAGCCACAGGTACAGGATGTAAACAGAGACACAGGTACAGGATGTAAACAGAGACACAGGTGCAGGATGTAAAGAGACACAGGTACAAGATGTAAACAGAGACACAGGTACAGGATGTAAACAGAGACACAGGTACAGGATGTAAACAGAGACACAGGTGCAGGATGTAAGCAGAGACACAGGTGCAGGATGTAAACAGAGACACAAGTGCAGGATGTAAGCAGAGACACAGGTGCAGGATGTAAACAGAGCCACAGGTGCAGGATGTAAACAGAGACACAGGTACAGGATGTAAACAGAGACACAGGTACAGGATGTAAGCAGCACAGGGCTACAGCAGGAGATCAGAGACACAGGTACAGGATGTAAACAGACACAGGTGCAGGATGTAAACAGAGACACAGGTGCAGGATGTAAACAGAGACACAGGTACAGGATGTAAACAGAGACACAGGTACAGGATGGGGCTGAGCAGGTTTCCAACCGTCCCTTAAAATACAGAATTGTTCCGTATTTTAGAAAAACTATGTGTCCTGAACTGAAACGATACAGACGGCTTTTGTTCCGTATTTTCAGAGCCGCCTTAAATGCATCACTCACTCACTGCATGTTACACACACACACACACACACACACACACACAAACACACGCACACGCACACGCACACGCACACACGCAGTAATCACAGTTTAAGCTTCTACCTTTCGGCCAATCAGAGTCAAAGGGGCGTAGGCTCGATCACATCCATGGGTTTAATGTTGACAAGTGCCCGCGTGGGCCACAGCATCATCACAGCAGGAGTTTGGTAAAGTTAGCTTCAGATTCGGACCTCCGCGGTCAATATCTCACGAAAGATACTTTGTTAAACTAAAGTAATTTTGCCAAACTGATCACATTTACATCAATTGTTCAAATCCAATGTGTTTTAATGCAGATACGGATACATATGTTTTTCTTTTATTCCTTTTACAGTAAATGGTATTTACTGTTCCATTCCATTTTCTTCCGCTTCATCCGTTGCCGGGTCGCGGGGGCAGCAGTCTAAGCAGAGACGCCCAGACTTCCCTATCCACACACACCTCCTCCAGCTTGTCCGGGGGGACCCCAAGGCGTTCCCAGGCCAGCTGAGAGACACAGTCCCTCCAGCGTGTCCTGGGTCTTCCCCGGGGCCTCCTCCCAGTGGGACGTGCCCGGAACACCTCCCCAGGGAGGCGTCCAGGAGGCATCCTGAACAGATGCCCAAGCCACCTCAACTGGTTCCTCTTGATGTGGAGAAGCAGCGGCTCTACTCCGAGCTCCTCCTGTGTGACTGAGCTCCTCACCCTATCTCTAAGGGAGCAGCCACTCTGCGGAGAAAGCTCATTTCGACCGCTTGTATCCGCGATCTCGTTCTTTCGGTCATTACCCAAAGCTCATGACCATAGGTGAGGGAGGGAACAAAGATTGACCGGTAAATCGAGAGCTTTGCCTTTTGGCTCAGCTCCCTCTTTACCACAACGGTCCGATACAGCTCTGACTGCAGACGCTGCTCCCTCTTCACCACGACCACATCACTGCACACGCTGCACCGATCCGCCTTCAATCTCACCTCCATCCTCCTCCACTTGAGGAAGGACCAGGACCTGGAGAGGGTGTTGTCAAAGCGGCTCAATGTGTGTGTGTGTGTGTGTGTGTGTGTTGTGTAATGTGTGTGTATGTGTGTGTGTGTGTGTGTTGTGTAATGTGTGTGTGTGTGTGTGTGTTCCAGGTGAGTGCAGCTGTCATGAAGGCTACACTCCTGACCCTGACCACACACACCTCTGTGTCCGCAGCGACTGGGCTCGGAACGAAGGGTGAGTCTGAGACAACACACACTGGATATGACGGAGAGAGAGGGGGGGAGAGAGACAGATAGAGGGAGAGAGAGAGACAGGGGGGACAGAGAGAGAGATAGATAGATAGAGAGAGGGGGGGAGAGAGAGACAGAGGGGGAGAGAGAGAGATGGATAGAAAGAGAGAGGGGGAGAGAGAGAGAGAGGGGGAAGAGTTAGAGTGATAGGGAGAAAGAGGGCGAAGGAGGAGAGGGAGGTAGAGAGAGGGGGAGAGAGATTGTCCTGTCCCATTTCACACCTGACCCCTCTCTACAGAAGAATCCAGTGTTTTTAATCACAGCTGTGGATCAGAGAGAGAGTGAGGAGGATCAGAAAGAGAGTGAGGAGGATCAGAAAGAGAGTGAGGAGGATCAGAAAGAGAGTGAGGAGGATCAGAAAGAGAGTGAGGAGGATCAGAAAGAGAGTGAGGAGGATCAGAAAGAGAGTGAGGAGGATCAGAAAGAGAGTGAGGAGGATCAGAAAGAGAGTGAGGAGGATCAGAAAGAGAGTGAGGAGGATCAGAAAGAGAGTGAGGCGGATCAGAAAGAGAGTGAGGAGGATCAGAAAGAGAGTGAGGAGGATCAGAAAGAGAGTGAGGAGGATCAGAAAGAGAGTGAGGAGGATCAGAAAGAGAGTGAGGAGGATCAGAAAGAGAGTGAGGAGGATCAGAAAGAGAGTGAGGAGGATCAGAAAGAGAGTGAGGAGGATCAGAAAGAGAGTGAGGAGGATCAGAAAGAGAGTGAGGAGGATCAGAAAGAGAGTGAGGAGGATCAGAAAGAGAGTGAGGAGGATCAGAAAGAGAGTGAGGAGGATCAGAAAGAGAGTGAGGCGGATCAGAAAGAGAGTGAGGAGGATCAGAAAGAGAGTGAGGAGGATCAGAAAGAGAGTGAGGAGGAAATCAGATCAAAAGAGAGTGAGGAGGATCAGAAAGAGAGTGAGGAGGATCAGAAAGAGAGTGAGGAGGATCAGAAAGAGAGTGAGGAGGATCAGAAAGAGAGTGAGGAGGATCAGAAAGAGAGTGAGGCGGATCAGAAAGAGAGTGAGGAGGATCAGAAAGAGAGTGAGGAGGATCAGAAAGAGAGTGAGGAGGATCAGAAAGAGAGTGAGGAGGATCAGAAAGAGAGTGAGGAGGATCAGAAAGAGAGTGAGGAGGATCAGAAAGAGAGTGAGGAGGATCAGAAAGAGAGTGAGGAGGATCAGAAAGAGAGTGAGGAGGATCAGAAAGAGAGTGAGGAGGATCAGAAAGAGAGTGAGGAGGATCAGAAAGAGAGTGAGGAGGATCAGAAAGAGAGTGAGGAGGATCAGAAAGAGAGTGAGGCGGATCAGAAAGAGAGTGAGGAGGATCAGAAAGAGAGTGAGGAGGATCAGAAAGAGAGTGAGGAGGATCAGAAAGAGAGTGAGGAGGATCAGAAAGAGAGTGAGGAGGATCAGAAAGAGAGTGAGGAGGATCAGAAAGAGAGTGAGGAGGATCAGAAAGAGAGTGAGGAGGATCAGAAAGAGAGTGAGGAGGATCAGAAAGAGAGTGAGGAGGATCAGAAAGAGAGTGAGGAGGATCAGAAAGAGAGTGAGGCGGATCAGAAAGAGAGTCAGGAGGATCAGAAAGAGAGTGAGGAGGATCAGAAAGAGAGTGAGGAGGATCAGAAAGAGAGTGAGGAGGATCAGAAAGAGAGTGAGGAGGATCAGAAAGAGAGTGAGGAGGATCAGAAAGAGAGTGAGGAGGATCAGAAAGAGAGTGAGGCGGATCAGAAAGAGAGTCAGGAGGATCAGAAAGAGAGTGAGGAGGATCAGAAAGAGAGTGAGGAGGATCAGAAAGAGAGTGAGGAGGATCAGAAAGAGAGTGAGGCGGATCAGAAAGAGAGTGAGGAGGATCAGAAAGAGAGTGAGGCGGATCAGAAAGAGAGTGAGGAGGATCAGAAAGAGAGTGAGGCGGGTGTGAGCAGAGAGGAGGAAATGCAGGTTTTCACACCGAGATAACACTTTTCAGCCTGAACCTCTGCTCTAACAGTAATCTGAAATGTTCAATCCACTTTAGCCGTGTCCACGTTTTTAAAATCTAAGTCATTTGCACTTAATGGTCTCAGACGTGCAACTGCACCTGCACCGCTCCTCTTGGGGGGAGCGGTGCGCACCGAGGGGTAATGACTCAGAGCAGCAGGAGGCCGGAGAGGGAGATGGACAGAAAGTGTGGCAGCAGAAAAGGAAAAATGTGGTCTCTCTCTGACCTCGTTTGACAGTCAAGAGAGAGAGAGAGAGAGAGAGGGGGGGGGGGGGGGGGGGAGAGATAGAGAGGGGGGGGAGAGAGGGGGAGGGAGGGAGAGAGAGAGAGAGAGGCAGAGAGAGAGGGAGAGAGAGAGAGACCAAGGGTTTTAGAAGGGCCTGATGGGGTCTTTGTTGTTGCCATTCTGATAGTATGTACTGTTTGTGCACATGGTCTGTATGTGCCCATGGTCTGTATGTGCCCATGGTCTGAATGTGCCCATGGTCTGTATGTGCCCATGGTCTGAATGTGCCCATGGTCTGAATGTGCCCATGGTCTGTATGTGCCCATGGTCTGTATGTGCACATGGTCTGTATGTGCACATGGTCTGTATGTGCACATGGTCTGTATGTGCCCATGGTCTGTATGTGTCCATGGTCTGTATGTGCACATGGTCTGTATGTGCACATGGTCTGTATGTGCACATGGTCTGTATGTGCCCATGGTCTGTATGTGCCCATGGTCTGTATGTGCACATGGTCTGTATGTGCACATGGTCTGTATGTGCACATGGTCTCGTCTGCTCTTTGCCTGCTCTACCTTTGGAACCCTGCACAGACCATGTGAGCTTCTGGTCTGTGCAGGATCTGTCCTGTAAAGTCTCACTGCTGGTTGATCATTATGTCATTGTGTTCTTTCTCTCTCTCTCTCTCGCTCTCTCTCTTGCTCTCTCGCTCTCGCTTGCTCTCTCAATCTCTCTCTCTCTCTTGATCTTGCTGTCTCACTCTCTCTCTCTCACTCTCTCTATATCTCCCTCTGTCTCTCTCTCTCTCTATATATATATATCTCCCTCTGTCTCTCTCTCTCTCTTTCTCTTTCTCTCTCTCTCTCTCTCTCTCTCTCAGTCCTTGGCCGTATGCGACGCTGGAGAAAGGATACGACCTGGTCACCGGACAACAGGCTCCAGAGAGGATCTTCAGGTGAGAGATTCTGTTCTGGACGAGGTCAGAGTCGATCACATCCAACAAGAACCGAACACAAAGAATCCTCTGCATCACTGCTTCATAACAACATCATGTCTGTGTAGGATCCTCTGCACCGCTGCTTTATAACAACATCATGTCTGTGTAGGATCCTCTGCACCGCTGCTTTATAACAACATCATGTCTGTGTAGGATCCTCTGCACCACTGGGTTCATAACAACATCATGTCTGTGTAGGATCCTCTGCACCGCTGCTTTATAACAACATCATGTCTGTGTAGGATCCTCTGCACCGCTGCTTTATAACAACATCATGTCTGTGTAGGATCCTCTGCACCACTGGGTTCATAACAACATCATGTCTGTGTAGGAGCCTCTGCACCGCGCTGCTTTATAACAACATCATGTCTGTGTAGGATCCTCTGCACCGCTGCTTTATAACAACATCATGTCTGTGTAGGATCCTCTGCACCGCTGCTTTATAACAACATCATGTCTGTGTAGGATCCTCTGCACCGCTGCTTTATAACAACATCATGTCTGTGTAGGATCCTCTGCACCGCTGCTTTATAACAACATCATGTCTGTGTAGGATCCTCTGCACCGCTGCTTTATAACAACATCATGTCTGTGTAGGATCCTCTGCACCGCTGCTTTATAACAACATCATGTCTGTGTAGGATCCTCTGCACCACTGGGTTCATAACAACATCATGTCTGTGTAGGATCCTCTGCACCGCTGCTTTATAACAACATCATGTCTGTGTAGGATCCTCTGCACCGCTGCTTTATAACAACATCATGTCTGTGTAGGATCCTCTGCACCACTGGGTTCATAACAACATCATGTCTGTGTAGGAGCCTCTGCACCGCTGCTTTATAACAACATCATGTCTGTGTAGGATCCTCTGCACCGCTGCTTTTTAACAACATCATGTCTGTGTAGGATCCTCTGCACCGCTGCTTTATAACAACATCATGTCTGTGTAGGATCCTCTGCACCGCTGCTTTATAACAACATCATGTCTGTGTAGGATCCTCTGCACCACTGCGTTCATAACAACATCATGTCTGTGTAGGATCCTCTGCATCACTGCTTTATAACAACATCATGTCTGTGTAGGATCCTCTGCACCACTGGGTTCATAACAACATCATGTCTGTGTAGGATCCTCTGCATCACTGCTTTATAACAACATCATGTCTGTGTAGGATCCTCTGCACCGCTGCTTTATAACAACATCATGTCTGTGTAGGATCCTCTGCACCACTGCTTTATAACAACATCATGTCTGTGTAGGATCCTCTGCACCACTGCTTTATAACAACATCATGTCTGTGTAGGATCCTCTGCACCACTGCTTTATAACAACATCATGTCTGTGTAGGATCCTCTGCATCACTGGGTTCATAACAACATCATGTCTGTGTAGGATCCTCTGCACCGCTGCTTTATAACAACATCATGTCTGTGTAGGATCCTCTGCACCACTGCTTTATAACAACATCATGTCTGTGTAGGATCCTCTGCACCGCTGCTTTATAACAACATCATGTCTGTGTAGGATCCTCTGCACCGCTGCTTTATAACAACATCATGTCTGTGTAGGATCCTCTGCACCGCTGCTTTATAACAACATTTTCACATGTGAGTCAAAACGAGCCGGAATGAGCTGAAGTTTCAACCGCGAATGAAGGCCTCTGATTGGTCGACGCTTTTACAGCTTATATCAGGAGTTACAAAGACATTAACAGAGACAAAGACAAGACTAAAATGTCACAGAAAGCGCTAAAACCGTGGAAAGAGTCCAAAGAAGCAGTGCACATGAATCAACATTGTACCATGGAAATGTGCCCGAGTTAGCTAAACTAAGCTAATTTCCATCGGTAGTCCCGTGGCAGATGTTAAGGCCAGCTTAAAAATGAAACAACTAATTAAGAACACACTTCAATTCATAAACAGTACATCAACATCGCCAAGTCACATGTGAGACAACAGGAAACAGAGCGAGATGAAGTTTCTGCTGCGAATGAAGGCATCTGATTGGTCGACGCTTTCACGGCTCATATCAGGAGTTACAAAGACATTAACAGAGGCAGAGACAAGACAAAAACGTCACAGAAAGACCTAAAACCATGGATTATTAAGCCCAAAATGTATCCGGAGCGAGCTGAAGCCAAACCTCGACCCTTGGCCTCTTTCCTCCTGTGCTTCATGGACGGTTAATGCTGTTATTTAACCAGAGCCAAACCTGGACAGTAACATGTTAATGCTGTTATTTAACCAGAGCCAAACCTGGACAGTAACATGTTAATGCTGTTATTTAACCAGAGCCAAACCTGGACAGTAACATGTTAATGCTGTTATTTAACCAGAGCCAAACCTGGACAGAAACATGTTAATGCTGTTATTTAACCAGAGCCAAACCTGGACAGAAACATGTTAATGCTGTTATTTAACCAGAGCCAAACCTGGACAGTAACACACACGAAGGACACAGATCCTGCATTTTTAATCTTGGTCGTCCTCCAACAAGAAGTGACTTTTGAAACAGACAGAGCACAGAGGGAAACTCCTTTTTGCTAGTCCACAAGTCCAGCCCACTCACAAACACACAGATTTAGAATAAGACCTCTGGTATTTAGCATGTCGATAGTACAGGACAGGAAGAAGGGAGAGGATCAAAGAAATAATGCCATTCTTCAAAGGCCTGGGACCAACCTGGAAATACAACACAGCAGTAGTCGTTTCAGTATAAGACACATATGACCGATAACTTTGCTGGTTTTAATGTTTAGCCCCGCCCTCATCTCGCTCACAGGCTTCTCATTTCCGCTACGCTCTCCTCCCACGGAGCCATCTAGCTTTATTTGCGATCTATATGCTAACGTTAGCATTAGCACAAGTTAAGCAGTACAACAATCACTGAAGAAATGGTACAAAAGCAACGCACTGCTAACACAATATATAACTGAAAGATTACACCTAGTTTCACGTCCAAATGTAGTCCGAGCGTAGATAGTCCGGGCGTAGATAGTCCGAGCGTAGATAGTCCGAGCGTAGATAGTCCGAGCGTAGATAGTCCGGGCGTAGATAGTCCGAGCGTAGATAGTCCGGGCGTAGATAGTCCGAGCGTAGATAGTCCGAGCGTAGATAGTCCGGGCGTAGATAGTCCGAGCGTAGATAGTCCGAGCGTAGATAGTCCGAGCGTAGATAGTCCGAGCAGAGATAGTCCGGGCGTAGATAGTCCGAGCAGAGATAGTCCGGGCGTAGATAGTCCGGGCGTAGATAGTCCGAGCGTAGATAGTCCGAGCGTAGATAGTCCGGGCGTAGATAGTCCGAGCGTAGATAGTCCGAGCGTAGATAGTCCGGGCGTAGATAGTCCGAGCGTAGATAGTCCGGGCGTAGATAGTCCGAGCGTAGATAGTCCGGGCGTAGATAGTCCGAGCGTAGATAGTCCGAGCGTAGATAGTCCGAGCGTAGATAGTCCGGGCGTAGATAGTCCGAGCGTAGATAGTCCGGGCGTAGATAGTCCGAGCGTAGATAGTCCGAGCGTAGATAGTCCGGGCGTAGATAGTCCGAGCGTAGATAGTCCGAGCGTAGATAGTCCGAGCGTAGATAGTCCGAGCAGAGATAGTCCGGGCGTAGATAGTCCGAGCAGAGATAGTCCGGGCGTAGATAGTCCGGGCGTAGATAGTCCGAGCGTAGATAGTCCGAGCGTAGATAGTCCGGGCGTAGATAGTCCGAGCGTAGATAGTCCGAGCGTAGATAGTCCGGGCGTAGATAGTCCGAGCGTAGATAGTCCGGGCGTAGATAGTCCGGGCGTAGATAGTCCGAGCGTAGATAGTCCGAGCGTAGATAGTCCGAGCGTAGATAGTCCGAGCGTAGATAGTCTGAGCGTAGATAGTCCGGGCATTGCAGTCTCTCTCTCTGGGCGTCGCAGTCTCTCTCTCTGGACGTCGCAGTCTCTCTCTCCGGACGTCGCAGTCTCTCTCTCCTGGCGTCGCAGTCTCTCTCTCTGGACGTCGCGGTCTCTCTCTCTCTGGGCACCGCAGTCTCTCACTCTGGGCGTCGCAGTCTCTCTCTCTGGACGTCGCAGTCTCTCTCTCCTGGCGTCACAGTCTCTCTCTCTGGACGTCGCAGTCTCTCACTCTGGGCGTCGCAGTCTCTCTCTCTGGGCACCGCAGTCTCTCACTCTGGGCGTCGCAGTCTCTCTCTCTGGGCGTCGCAGTCTCTCTCTCTGGACGTCGCAGTCTCTCACTCTGGGCGTCGCAGTCTCTCTCTCTGGGCACCGCAGTCTCTCACTCTGGGCGTCGCAGTCTCTCTCTCTGGGCACCGCAGTCTCTCTCTCTGGGCGTCGCAGTCTCTCTCTCTGGACGTCGCAGTCTCTCTCTCTGGACGTCGCAGTCTCTCTCTCCTGGCGTCACAGTCTCTCTCTCTGGACGTCGCAGTCTCTCACTCTGGGCGTCGCAGTCTCTCTCTCTGGGCACCGCAGTCTCTCACTCTGGGCGTCGCAGTCTCTCTCTCTGGGCACCGCAGTCTCTCACTCTGGGCGTCGCAGTCTCTCTCTCTGGGCACCGCAGTCTCTCTCTCTGGGCGCCGCAGTCTCTCTCTCTGGGCGTCGCAGTCTCTCTCTCTGGGCGTCGCAGTCTCTCTCTCTGGGCACCGCAGTCTCTCTCTCTGGGCACCGCAGTCTCTCTCTCTGGGCGTCGCAGTCTCTCTCTCTGGACGTCGCAGTCTCTCTCTCTGGACGTCGCAGTCTCTCTCTCCTGGCGTCACAGTCTCTCTCTCTGGACGTCGCAGTCTCTCACTCTGGGCGTCGCAGTCTCTCTCTCTGGGCACCGCAGTCTCTCACTCTGGGCGTCGCAGTCTCTCTCTCTGGGCACCGCAGTCTCTCACTCTGGGCGTCGCAGTCTCTCTCTCTGGGCACCGCAGTCTCTCTCTCTGGGCGCCGCAGTCTCTCTCTCTGGGCGTCGCAGTCTCTCTCTCTGGGCGTCGCAGTCTCTCTCTCTGGGCACCGCAGTCTCTCTCTCTGGGCGCCGCAGTCTCTCTCTCTGGGCGTCGCAGTCTCTCTCTCTGGGCGTCGCAGTCTCTCACTCTGGGCGCAGCAGTCTCTCACTCTGGGCGCAGCAGTCTCTCACTCTGGGCGTCGCAGTCTCTCTCTCTGGGCACCGCAGTCTCTCACTCTGGGCGCAGCAGTCTCTCACTCTGGGCGTCGCAGTCTCTCTCTCTGGGCACCGCAGTCTCTCACTCTGGGCGTCGCAGTCTCTCTCTCTGGGCACCGCAGTCTCTCACTCTGGGCGTCGCAGTCTCTCACTCTGGGCGCAGCAGTCTCTCACTCTGGGCGCAGCAGTCTCTCACTCTGGGCGTCGCAGTCTCTCTCTCTGGGCGTCGCAGTCTCTCACTCTTTTTATACAGCCTGAATTCATAAAAAGCTGAATCAATGAGCTCAAGTTTTACATTACATTACAGATTATAATACAACTTGTCTGTAGTAATAGGCATTTTTATAATAAAATAGGGTATAGCTTCTTCAAACAACATTGCTCAGTCGTGTAGCAAGCAGGTTAGCGCTGTCCATGTATATCCATATCTTTACAGTCCGTGATTAAACCGTAGCTGTCTGCCCTCGCTGAGCCTCGCTGCGTGCCTCCACTCAAAGAAACAAGGATCCACTGCACGCCTCGGCCTCCCGCCTGCTTCACACCGTGGGCAAAACAAAGCACTTTAGACTCCGAGCTCGATCCACCGCAAACCAAACCCAATGAAAGAAAGGTGAAAAGCAGACTTCCTCCTGAGCTGAATCGCCTCAGCACATTCTGCCGTATCCATTTTCTCTTGATGTCAAATACATTGCGAAGGGAAGAAATAATGTTGGAGGCTATTTTTGAATAATTACCAGATGGTTTTATCCCCAAAGGACTCTGCTTCCCTATAGAGCGGTCTCTGCAATTTGTTGATGAGCAAAGAAATAATTCTTGGGCAAAATATCACTCAGCGTCAGTGATGTCACACGCAAAAAAATCTGCTTTCATCCGTGTACAGAGAAGGATGGTTGGCAGCCATTTGTGATTAGCCGTTTGTGGTCGTTAGCGACTGAAACGTGATGAGACAGAACCAGTGTTGGGTGGATCGTCATTATGAGGCTTAATTTAAAACACATCGGTTCATAGACATTAGGACAAGTTTGTTTACAACACTGTAGAGGCAGGAAGTGGAGGCAGGGAGGAGACTGAGGCTGTAGACCCAGGACTGAGGCTGTAGACCCAGGACTGAGGCTGTAGACCCAGGACTTAGCTGTAGACCCAGGACTGAAGCTGTAGACCCAGGACTGAGGCTGTAGATCCAGGACTGAGGCTGTGCAGATCCAGGGCTGAGGCTGTAGACCCAGGACTGAGACTGTAGACCCAGGACTTAGCTGTAGATCCAGGACTTCGCTGTAGATCCAGGACTTCGCTGTAGACCCAGGACTGAGGCTGTAGACCCAGGACTTAGCTGTAGACCCAGGACTTAGCTGTAGACCCAGGACTTAGCTGTAGACCCAGGACTTAGCTGTAGTCTATAGATTGGAGACGTGGGGACGAGGAGAAGCTGAGTACAGACAAACACAAAACCTCTCTTCACAGCGACAGTGGTGAGAACGAGGCCGAATGTTTCAGTTTGGTGCGAGACCCTATGACCCGCTGCTCAGTGACTCTGTGGTGTGTGATCCTCAGGTCCTTCTACAGCCTGGGGCAGGGCGTGTGGCTCCCCGTCAGTAAGAGTTTCGTGGTGCCCCCCGTGGAGCTGTCCATCAACCCCATCGCCAGCTGCAAAACAGACGTCCTGGTGACCGAGGACCCAGGGGAGGTCAGGTCAGTCACCCAGCTCAATTTCATGATTTTGGACTATTCCCTAAATTTTGTGTAAGCTCTCAGTCGTACAGGGATTAGTCAAAGCAAAGGAAGGTTTCTCACCCATCATCTGTACTTCTTAGCAAGTTTTCCCAGGGAAAACTTAGCAAGTTTTCCCAGGGAAAACTTGCTAAGAAGTACAGATGATGGGTGAGAAACCTTCCTTTGCTTTATTCCCTAAATGTTTACAGCTGTTTTGGGTGCTCTTGTATTCGTACTGTTAGCTGCAACACTGAAATGTCATCACTGTGCCATGAATACTTCCCTGAACATAAATTGGTAACTTAATCAGGCCTGCGACAATTATTTGTTTGAGGCTGTAGACCCAGGACTGAGGCTGTAGATCCAGGACTGAGGCTGTAGACCCAGGACTGAGGCTGTAGACCCAGGACTGAGGCTGTAGACCCAGGACTGAGGCTGTAGACCCAGGACTGAGGCTGTAGACCCAGGACTGAGGCTGTAGATCCAGGACTGAGGCTGTAGACCCAGGACTGAGGCTGTAGACCCAGGACTGAGGCTGTAGACCCAGGACTGAGGCTGTAGACCCAGGACTGAGGCTGTAGATCCAGGACTGAGGCTGTAGACCCAGGACTGAGGCTGTAGACCCAGGACTGAGGCTGTAGACCCAGGACTGAGGCTGTAGACCTAGGACTGAGGCTGTAGACCCAGGACTGAGGCTGTAGACCCAGGACCAGTGTTGGGCACGTTACTTTGAAAAAGTAATTAGTTATAGTTACTAGTTACTTCTCCCAAAAAGTAACTGAGTTACTAACGGAGTTACTCCACTATAAAAGTAACTAGTTACCAGTAAAAGTAACTATTGCGTTACTTTTTCGTTTTGTTCTGGAACATAATGTGCACTCGACGTGCGCATGTTGACCTTTAACCTTTAACCTCAGTGAGTTTAAGTAGTGCCAATATTTCCATCTAGAAAAGTCTGTTTTTCTGCTGAAGTCCTGTTCACTCTTCATCTGTCTCGGTGTAAGCACTAAACACCAACACGCTCCACTGTGAATGTGGAAGCACCAAGCACTGACTTCAGCCCAATCAGATGAACATATATATGTATATATATATAAATATATATCTATATATATATATATATATATATCATATAAATCAAGTGGACAGTTTGTTTGGCTACAGCAGAATATGTTTCATGCATTGTTAGTTCAAACAAAACACAAAACTATGAGTTATGGGTCTTACCTTATAAATGACCTGCACAGTCCACTTCAGTTCAGACCAGTTCCATGTTTAAGTCCAGATAATAGTTTGAGCGTAGATATGTAATCCTCTGTTTGGAAATGAGTCCAATGAGTTTTAAAAAGTAAAACAAAACGCGTGTGTCCTCCATAAACTCCTCTGTTTCGCTGCATCCAATTTCTAAAACCAACGTCTTACACTTCACCTCTTTCTTATCATTCCTTTAGTCATTGAAAAATTACCCTAAGTGCATTTTAAATGATCTTAAAATGTGTTATATGTATGTTAGCCAAACCTGCTGCTGCCCTTAGCAGATAAACCAGGAAGAGAAAGGAGCTTATCGATGGAATTGTATGCAGCCTTCTGCGCTCACATGAGCTCCTCTGAGGCCTCACGGTGATACAAGCCGTGGTAGAGTCTGATTAAGACCCATTTGTTTCAAAAACACAGATTATGAGCATCCTCTCAACTGTAGACATGTAGACTGTAAAGGAAATGTTTTACATCAGCCAATAATATCTGAGAGGTTTTCTCATCCTCCCTTCTCTCATGACAACACGTTCATTGTGCGTCTTGAGTAACGCGCAGTAACGGGATGTCGGAAATGATAACGGCGTTTTAGTTACTGTCAAAGTAATTAGTTAGATTACTCGTTACTGAATAAAAGTAACGGCGTTATTCCCATCACTGCCCAGGACTGATGTTATTGTGACTCTCATCAGACAGAACCTCTTATGGCTCAGATTGCTCCTGGAAAACAAACACAGAGCCACATTATTGTCGGGTTAATGTCAGGTTGTGCAGTTGGCGATCTCACCAACTGTTGGCAAAGCAGAAAGGATATTTGTCATCCACAGAGGAGCTGGCACGCCTCGCTGCAGAACACTGTCCCTGTCACAGCCTCAGCCTCACAAAGACACTTCCTCTGATCCTTCATTAAAACAATAAACACACGCTGCATGTGAAACACGTCTGTCTCCTGCAAAGACAATAGTGACATGTCCCTCCTCCTCCTCCTCTTCCTCCTCCTCCTCCTCCTCCTCTTCCTCACTCAGACATGATGGAGCTTCCTTTCAATTACTCGGAGAATCAAATCTCTAGCTTCAGTATAATAAGGAAGCAAAACTAACATCTCTTTAGCTCAATGTCATTGAAGAAGTAAGAATTCCCCTGACCACAACTCCTTCCCCCAACCCTGACTTTAGCATAATGAGAAGTCATTATAAAGTCTCTCGCTTTAGCGTGATGGCGCGTTCAGACGCCGGCGCTGGAACGCTGACGCCTCACGCACCAGACGCACATTCTCTAGTTTTCAGACGCAGGGTTCTTCAGACCAAAGTCCTGCTGCGGTGGCGCCCGCCGGAAGTAGCGGACGGACTTTGATGCTAACGGAGTTAAGCTAGCAGCTTTTTGTGTAAAGTTCTTCTCCAATAATGCAGCTCTGCAGCGTCTCTGTGTCTGAGACCTTCACAGACTTTATATAACAGTAGTATGTGTTCACGGTGACTTTATATAACAGTAGTATGTGTTCACGGTGACTTTATATAACAGTAGTATGTGTTCACGGTGACTTTATATAACAGCAGTATGTGTTCACGGAGGTGACTTTATATAACAGCAGTATGTGTTCATGGAGGTGACTTTATATAACAGCAGTATGTGTTCACGGAGGTGACTTTATATAACAGCAGTATGTGTTCATGGAGGTGACTTTATATAACAGTAGTATGTGTTCACGGTGACTTTATATAACAGCAGTATGTGTTCATGGAGGTGACTTTATATAACAGCAGTATGTGTTCACGGAGGTGACTTTATATAACAGCAGTATGTGTTCATGGAGGTGACTTTATATAACAGCAGTATGTGTTCACGGTGACTTTATATAACAGTAGTATGTGTTCACGGAGGTGACTTTATATAACAGCAGTATGTGTTCACGGTGACTTTATATAACAGCAGTATGTGTTCACGGTGACTTTATATAACAGCAGTATGTGTTCACGGAGGTGACTTTATATAACAGCAGTATGTGTTCACGGTGACTTTATATAACAGTAGTATGTGTTCACGGAGGTGACTTTATATAACAGCAGTATGTGTTCACGGAGGTGACTTTATATAACAGCAGTATGTGTTCACGGTGACTTTATATAACAGCAGTATGTGTTCACGGAGGTGACTTTATATAACAGCAGTATGTGTTCATGGAGGTGACTTTATATAACAGCAGTATGTGTTCACGGAGGTGACTTTATATAACAGCAGTATGTGTTCACAGTGACTTTATATAACAGCAGTATGTGTTCACGGTGACTTTATATAACAGCAGTATGTGTTCATGGAGGTGACTTTATATAACAGCAGTATGTGTTCACAGTGACTTTATATAACAGCAGTATGTGTTCACAGTGACTTTATATAACAGCAGTATGTGTTCACGTGACTTTATATAACAGCAGTATGTGTTCACGGAGGTGACTTTATACAAAAGCAGTGTGTGTTCACGGTGACTTTATATAACAGCAGTATGTGTTCACGGAGGTGACTTTATATAACAGCAGTATGTGTTCACGGAGGTGACTTTATATAACAGCAGTATGTGTTCACGTGACTTTATATAACAGCAGTATGTGTTCACGGAGGTGACTTTATACAACAGCAGTATGTGTTCACGGTGACTTTTTATATAACAGCAGTATGTGTTCACGAAGGTGACTTTATATAACAGCAGTTTGTGTTCACGGAGGTGACTTTATATAACAGCAGTATGTGTTCACGGAGGTGACTTTATATAACAGCAGTATGTGTTCACGGTGACTTTTTATATAACAGCAGTATGTGTTCACGGAGGTGACTTTATATAACAGCAGTTTGTGTTCACGGAGGTGACTTTATATAACAGCAGTTTGTGTTCACGGAGGTGACTTTATATAACAGCAGTATGTATTCACTGTGACTTTATATAACAGCAGTATGTGTTCACGGAGGTGACTTTATATAACAGCAGTATGTGTTCACGGAGGTGACTTTATATAACAGCAGTATGTGTTCACGGAGGTGACTTTATATAACAGCAGTATGTGTTCACGGAGGTGACTTTTTATAACAGCAGTATGTGTTCACGGAGGTGACTTTATATAACAGCAGTATGTGTTCACGGAGGTGACTTTATATAACAGCAGTATGTGTTCACGGAGGTGACTTTATATAACAGCAGTATGTGTTCACGGAGGTGACTTTATATAACAGCAGTATGTGTTCACGGAGGTGACTTTATATAACAGCAGTATGTGTTCACGGAGGTGACTTTATATAACAGCAGTATGTGTTCACGGTGACTTTATATAACAGCAGTATGTGTTCACGGAGGTGACTTTATATAACAGCAGTATGTGTTCATGGAGGTGACTTTATATAACAGCAGTATGTGTTCACAGTGACTTTATATAACAGCAGTATGTGTTCACGGTGACTTTATATAACAGCAGTTTGTGTTCACGGAGGTGACTTTATATAACAGCAGTTTGTGTTCACGGAGGTGACTTTATATAACAGCAGTATGTGTTCACGGAGGTGACTCTCAGTTACAGAGACAAACATCCTGAGCCAGATTCTCAAACATGTACATTCCTGACAGTGTTTTGTTCCTACATCCCCCAAACCCTGAATCCAAGTGTTTGGGGGTTCCTGTGTGTGTTAAAGCTGTAGCTTCTGTGGACGGAGAAACATAAACAGTTCGTCCTTGACTTCATCTTTACATCATGCATATGTTCCCGTTTCTGCACCGCCGCTGATGGAGGCCGTGTAGCCTCGGCGTGTGCAGCCGCTGCCTCCACATCCTCCAGACTAAAGGTCAAGGGCGTTTTTAACTATGGCTACATTCAGAGAGAGAGAGAGAGAGAGAGAACTCACCCTTATTTGTTTGGGTTTAGTCCTGATTCAAAGCAGTCGTCTCGGAGGATGTTTTGCCAGAAAGAGAGAAAATAAAATAATCCCAGAGGTTTCTCACTTTTCTCCCACTGGGTTTTTATAGTTGTTGCAGAAAAACATTTATAAACATTGGTCTCTGCTCCTCATGGATCAATGTCTCTCTCAGCGTCCGGGCGCTGCATTCTCTCTCTCCGGGCGTTGCAGTCTCTCTCCGGGCGTCACAGTCTCTCTCTGGGCGTCACAGTCTCTCTCTGGGCGTCGCAGTCTCTCTCTCCGGGCGTCGCAGTCTCTCTCTCCGGGCGTTGCAGTCTCTCTCCGGGCGTCGCAGTCTCTCTCTCTGGGCGTTGCAGTCTCTCTCCGGGCGTTGCAGTCTCTCTCTCTGGGCGTTGCAGTCTCTCTCCGGGCGTCGCAGTCTCTCTCTCTGGGCGTTGCAGTCTCTCTCCGGGCGTCGCAGTCTCTCTCTCCGGGCGTCGCAGTCTCTCTCTCCGGGTGTCGCAGTCTCTCTCTCTCTGGACGTCGCAGTCTCTCTCTCTGGGCGTCGCAGTTTCTCTCTCTCTGGGCGTCGCAGTCTCTCTCTCTCTGGGCGTCGCAGTCTCTCTCTCTCTGGGCGTCGCAGTCTCTCTCTCCGGGCGTCGCAGTCTCTCTCTCTGGGCGTTGCAGTCTCTCTCCGGGCGTCGCAGTCTCTCTCTCTGGGCGTCGCAGTCTCTCTCTCCGGGCGTCGCAGTCTCTCTCTCTGGGCGTCGCAGTCTCTCTCTCCGGGCGTTGCAGTCTCTCTCCGGGCGTCGCAGTCTCTCTCTCTGGGCGTTGCAGTCTCTCTCCGGGCGTTGCAGTCTCTCTCTCCGGGCGTTGCAGTCTCTCTCCGGGCGTCGCAGTCTCTCTCTCTCCGAGCGTCGCAGTCTCTCTCTCCGGGCGTCGCAGTCTCTCTCTCCGAGCGTCGCAGTCTCTCTCTCCGGGCGTCGCAGTCTCTCTCTCTGGGCGTCGCAGTCTCTCTCTCTGGGTGTCGCAGTCTCTCTCTCTCTGGACGTCGCGGTCTCTCTCTCTGGGCGTCGCAGTCTCTCTCTCTCTGGGCGTCGCAGTCTCTCTCTCTGGGCGTCGCAGTCTCTCTCTCTCTGGGCGTCGCAGTCTCTCTCTCTCTGGGCGTCGCAGTCTCTCTCTCTGGGCGTCGCAGTCTCTCTCTCTGGGCGTCGCAGTCTCTCTCTCTCTGGGCGTCGCAGTCTCTCTCTCTGGGTTTCGCAGTCTCTCTCTCTCTGGACGTCGCGGTCTCTCTCTCTGGGCGTCGCAGTCTCTCTCTCTGGGCGTCGCAGTCTCTCTCTCTGGGCGTCGCAGTCTCTCTCTCTCTGGGCGTCGCAGTCTCTCTCTCTCTGGGCGTCGCAGTCTCTCTCTCTCTGGGCGTCGCAGTCTCTCTCTCTCTGGGCGTCGCAGTCTCTCTCTCTGGGGTCGCAGTCTCTCTCTCTCTGGGCGTCGCGGTCTCTCTCTCTGGGCGTCGCAGTCTCTCTCTCTCTGGGCGTCGCAGTCTCTCTCTCTGGACGTCGCAGTCTCTCTCTCTCTGGGCGTCGCAGTCTCTCTCTCTCTGGACGTTGCTGTCTCTCTCTCTGGGCGTCGCAGTCTCTCTCTCTCTGGGAGTCGCTGTCTCTCTCTCTCTGGGCGTCGCAGTCTCTCTCTGGGCGTCGCAGTCTCTCTCTCCGGGCGTCGCAGTCGGTCGTCCATCAGCCACAAAAGCAAAGCAGCAAAAGCGGATTCATAACAAGTGCATTACTTTCTGTCTAGATGCGAGCTCCACGAGGTCAGGACATTGCTGGGTTGCCATCCTCAGTCTCAGACCCTGGTCCTCACAGTCTCAGACCCTGGTCCTCACAGCCTCAGACCCTGGTCCTCACAGTCCCAGACCCTGGTCCTCACAGTCCCAGACCCTGGTCCTCACAGTCTCAGACCCTGGTCCTCACAGTCCCAGACCCTGGTCCTCACAGCCACAGACCCTGGTCCTCACAGCCTCAGACCCTGGTCCTCACAGCCTCAGACCCTGGTCCTCACAGTCCCAGACCCTGGTCCTCACAGTCCCAGACCCTGGTCCTCACAGTCCCAGACCCTGGTCCCCAGTCCAGACCTGGTCCTCACAGCCCAGACCCTGGTCCTCACAGTCCCACAGACCCTGGTCCTCACAGCCTCAGACCCTGGTCCTCACAGCCTCAGACCCTGGTCCTCACAGTCCCAGACCCTGGTCCTCACAGTCCCAGACCCTGGTCCTCACAGTCCCAGACCCTGGTCCTCACAGTCTCCAGACCCTGGTCCTCACAGTCCCAGACCCTGGTCCTCACAGCCTCAGACCCTGGTCCACAGCCACAGACCCTGGTCCTCACAGTCCCAGACCCTGGTCCTCACAGTCCCAGACCCTGGTCCTCACAGCCCCAGACCCTGGTCCTCACAGCCACAGACCCTGGTCCTCACAGTCCCAGACCCTGGTCCTCACAGTCCCAGACCCTGGTCCTCACAGCCTCAGACCCTGGTCCTCACAGCCTCAGACCCTGGTCCTCACAGCCTCAGACCCTGGTCCTCACAGTCTCAGACCCTGGTCCTCACAGTCCCAGACCCTGGTCCTCACAGTCCCAGACCCTGGTCCTCACAGCCTCAGACCCTGGTCCTCACAGCCTCAGACCCTGGTCCTCACAGTCCCAGACCCTGGTCCTCACAGTCTCAGACCCTGGTCCTCACAGTCCCAGACCCTGGTCCTCACAGTCCCAGACCCTGGTCCTCACAGTCCCAGACCCTGGTCCTCACAGCCTCAGACCCTGGTCCTCACAGTCCCAGACCCTGGTCCTCACAGTCCCAGACCCTGGTCCTCACAGTCCCAGACCCTGGTCCTCACAGCCTCAGACCCTGGTCCTCACAGTCCCAGACCCTGGTCCTCACAGTCCCAGACCCTGGTCCTCACAGTCTCAGACCCTGGTCCTGATGCTACACAGACATTACACAAACTAATGCATTTCTTCCGCCCTTTTTTAACTATTTTCCCATAAAATGAACACTTGTTAGAGAAACATATTTGAGTAAAACAGACTCCATCAGATTTATGCTTGCTACGAGCAGCTGCCACAAACAAAAAAGACCGGCTCCTCTTGATTAACTAACAACTCAGTCGCAGGAAATGGCTACTTTTTAACAAATTAAAAAGAAATATTTTTTGCTGAATCGTTGCAGCCGGTTGATTTGTGGCAGCTTTGTGATTACACGCAACGAGTGCCATAAATCAAACCCAAACTGAAAATCCATACGGTGCAGATGGAAGCCGTGTGAATGCCACAGTTCTGCTGCACGAGCTTTATCCAGTTTCTCTCTGCAACAGGCGGCTCCTGGAATTGATTACTTCTCCGAGGTTGACTTACACCTCCCTCGGCCCATGACAGTCGATCAGCATTCCGCTCGCTTCCCGGCCCATTCCTCCCTCACCTCCCACTCCCGGGTTTGGCCTCAGAATTAAGGAGTTGTTTGTCAGAGTGTTCGGAGCTGGCAGAGACGGCCGACACGCACAATGCCATGTGCTGCCTGTCAAAGTCTGAGAAATTGATTTGCAAGAATATGGTGAAAGGGAATACACGGCAGAGAGTAGAGCGAGAGAGAGACTTTTTAGCCAAAGGACAATAGAAAATGTTGTTACTGAATGTTCCAACGACAAGTCTCAGCGGAGAACGGAATAAATCACGTCTGGATGTGATGCTAATGAGCCGGCGGAACGCAATTAATAATGATGAATGGGTTTAATATAGATGCTTTTTGGACACGTATTACACCCACACACTGTACCTGCAGAGCCTGTCAGACCTCTGAAGCTCAGCAGGGCAGGGTAGTGCTGGGATGGGAGACCTCTGGGAACAGCAGGTGACACAGTGGGGCGGTCCTTAGGCAAGACACTTCAGCCACAGCCACATTAGTGTGTGTGTGTGTGTGTGTGTGTGTGTGCGTGTGCGTGTGTGCGTATGTGCGTGTGTGGTGGTGGGAGGGGCCGATGGCACAGACTGGTTGCCTCGCTTCTGTCAGTGTGTCCCAGGGCGGTTGTGGCTACTGTAGTAGTCTGTCATCACTGTGTATAAGGTGACATCTTTGAGAGTCCTGAAAAGTTCCGTGCCTCCCTGGTCCTCACAGTCCCAGACCCTGGTCCTCACAGTCCCAGACCCTGGTCCCCACAGTCCCAGACCCTGGTCCCCACAGTCCCAGACCCTGGTCCCCACAGTCCCAGACCCTGGTCCCCACAGTCCCAGACCCTGGTCCCCACAGTCCCAGACCCTGGTCCCCACAGTCCCAGACCCTGGTCCCCACAGTCCCAGACCCTGGTCCCCACAGTCCCAGACCCTGGACCTCACAGTCCCAGACCCTGGACCTCACAGTCCCAGACCCTGGTCCCCACAGTCTAGTTTCTATGTTTTGACGTCTTGGATTATTCAGCTTCTTTTAGCATTTATATGCTTTGTTTCTCTGAAAGACACCACACAGATGCTACACAGATGCTACACAGACGCTACACAGATGCTACACAGATGCTACACAGATGCTACACAGATGTCCTGAAAATGTCTTTAAAACTGATTAATTATTATGATTGGACATCCATCAGCTTCCATCAGCTTCTTTTCAAACCAAGCAGACTTTGTGTTTTCCTGTTTGTATAAACCTGCAGGTTTGAGACAAATACATGAAATTAAATGATACGCTTATAATCTGAGACGCCTTGAATATAAATAAAGCAAACAAAAGTCCCACAATGCACCGTGCTTAATCCGTGCAATGATCAGACGACAATCTTTTAACGTTCTGTAAAAACTGACACTGACTCAGTCTTTACCGCAGTCACACAATCCAAACAGAGCCAAACACTACATCAGACACAAAGCACATTTCTCTTGCCTCTGGGCCTCTCACCAAATCCAATTCCAACCTTTTAGTCCTCACAATTTTCTTTTGGCAGCGTTTCATATTTTCCCTTTCATACTTCATGCAAAACAAGACGACACTCGCTGGAGCCAAAGTACACCACTGTAGCTTCTTCACGCTCAGAACAAAACCCAGGAACAGCCAGACTCCAAACTGTCTCTGTGCCATGTGCCGCACTCACCCACGAGAGGCTGCCTCACCCACGAGAGGCTGCCTCACCCACGGGAGGCTGCCTCACCCACGAGAGGCTGCCTCACCCACGGGAGGCTGCCTCACCCACGAGAGGCTGCCTCACCCACGGGAGGCTGCCTCACCCACGAGAGGCTGCCTCACCCACGGGAGGCAGCCTCACCCACGAGAGGCTGCCTCACCCACGAGAGGCTGCCTCACCCACGGGAGGCTGCCTCACCCACGAGAGGCTGCCTCACCCACGAGAGGCTGCCTCACCCGCGAGAGGCTGCCCCACGCCTGGCTCTCCTGGTGGGCCGCCGCGGGGTCGCAGAGGGTCCAGGGCCCTTCAGGGACTGGACCGGATCCTGGTCCATCATTAACGAGCGAGAGACCTCACTGCTTTGTCTGTGATGATGTGGGTCAGTTCTCTTTAGCCGTGTTCAGATCCTCATGGACCTGCAGGCGACAGGGCGACAGGGCGACAGGGCGACAAGGCGACAAGGCGACAGGGCGACAGGGCGACAGGGCGACAGGGCGACAGGGCGACAGGGCGACAAGGCGACAAGGCGACAGGGCGACAGGGCGACAGGGCGACAGGGCGACAAGGCGACAGGGCGACAGGGCGACAGGGCGACAGGGCGACAAGGCCAGCAAAGACAGGATTTGCAGCAGCAGAAAATGTGAGATTTTGATTTTAAAAAAGTCTATTTGGTCTCAGTTTGGAGGAAGATGTGAATAATGACAATAATAAATGCAGCAGGTTTATACAGTGCTTTTTGGACGCTCAAAGATGCTTCACAAATTCACCATTTATATACAATACACAATATACATCATAGAAATGCCCATATAAGGAAATTAGCTGCAGTTCGGCTTTTTCTGCGTTTACTTTAGAATGTTATGGAAACTGCGGCGAGTCCTGAGTGTCTCTGAAACTGTTGTTTTGTGTTTTACAATTATTATTCTTGCTTTTTTCTGCCTGAGATGTTGCTGCAGTTCAGTGTTCATGGTTTTACACTGGTCCAGACCAGAGCAGAGAGGATTCATGGTTTTACACTGGTCCAGACCAGAGCAGAGAGGATTCATGGTTTTACACTGGTCCAGACCAGAGCAGAGAGGATTCATGGTTTTACACTGGTCCAGACCAGAGCAGAGAGGATTCATGGTTTTACACTGGTCCAGACCAGAGCAGAGAGGATTCATGGTTTTACACCGGTCCAGACCAGAGCAGAGAGGATTCATGGTTTTACACTGGTCCAGACCAGAGCAGAGAGGATTCTTGGTCCGAACCAAGTGGATCAGGTGAAAGTCCACTCCAGCAGGAGTCCAGTCCCTGTGCTCCTGAGAGTCCCAGCAGGAGTCCAGTCCCTGTGCTCCTCAGAGTCCCAGCAGGAGTCCAGTCCCTGTGCTCCTCAGAGTCCCAGCAGGAGTCCAGTCCCTGTGCTCCTCAGAGTCCCAGCAGGAGGCCAGTCCCTGTGCTCCTCATAGAGTTTGATAATGCTGTTTCAACCACAGTTGAACCTGATGAAATCTCACACAACAAAGAGACAAAGTTAATCTTTTACTTGTTACATTTTACAAGGAGAAAGTCTTGACAGAGGCAAGGCACAGTCCCCAGCCCCTCTCAGGACAAGTCTGAAGATCCACAGATGGCAAGCCCCTTTTGGTAGAACAAGACACACCTTCGTATGCAGATGGGAAAGGAAGAAACCAACACAACAAAAGACACTTCGAATTAGCGTATACAAAGACTGCTTCTTCTGGTGTTTAACATATGAGCTCCCCAGACCTCCCGGTGTCTTCCTGAAGCTAAAGTGAATTACAGTACAGAGCATTCAGCATATAGCCTCATATGATTTACCAAAATGATAACTTAAGTTACATTCCAATATCATTCCCTCCTTTTTATCCTTTTGATAAATCAAACAATCTATGTTTAAACATGGAGAACATGGATAACTGAAAATGAAAAAACACTCATCCAAACTGAAAAAATGTTCATAGTATAATTTCACATTGTTGTTCCATAAACTATTCCCCCTATTGAGACATAACATGGCTCAAAACTGAACAATGTATTGACTTAAAATGTATTAACTTTGGTTATCAAATTCAACACCACGCACCCGCCCAAAAGCCCAAAAACCCAAAGTCCATTTTCACAGTCCATAGTCAGTCCATTTGACACTTCCTCTCAACCCCTCCTCATGTTTGGTTATGACCAGAAATGTTCACTCTGTTCCTGTTTCAAAACTCTTCTCTGTCTGCGTTTCCGACGCAAGACTAGCAGCAAGCCGTTCTCCAACAATGACACAAAGCTGAACTTTCCAGTCGCAAATGTACCAAGATGTCACCTTCAATTCTCACGTCCATTTAACTTGAACAAACGGCCAGCACCCTCCGTGGGCCTGCACGCTTTGATCCTTGCAAATCGGCCCGTGATTATTCGGCAGCAGCTTCCGGTGCGGGGGGGGGGGGGGGGGGGGTTGGGTGGAGGGTCGTTTCGTAGGTGTCGATGGCTGTATGGAGATGGCGATGGGGTTGGTTTTCTGTCCCACAATGGAAAATAGGTGGATTTTGTTGCTTTGAAGCTTTGGCAGAGATGTGGCATTTTGCTCAAAAACAAGAAGCACATTTGTTAATACATTTCAGAATCAAAACATAAGGTGAAGGGTAATTCTAAACCAAGAAAACTTTGACAAAGGAAAACGAAGAGGACACACAGAACAAAGAAGGACACACAAACAAAGAAACACATGGCCAGAGGACAAAGGATCACATGGCCACCCAAAATGGCGGTCTATCTACTTTTTGCAATGTCCAATTCCAAATTTTGAGTAATTAAAGGTCTTTAAACATCCAATTTCAATTTAGTTTATTTAGTTGTCTATAAATGTCCAATTTCAGTTTAGAAGTAATGTAGAAGTTCAGTCCGAAGTAATTCAATTCTCCTAAATGAAACCCGGTTCATTCGAGCTCCACACTACTCTCTTGAATTAGTCCCGGACATAATTCAGTGTTTAGAAACTTGCCTTTGTTGCAATTTCATCAGGAAAAAAACTGTAGTTCTCCCGTCAACTCCAACCCAGGGCTGTCCTGCCTCAAACCTGGAGTTCCAATGCAGTTCCGAGTGCAGAAGGCCCTGTTGTTGCTCCTGGATGTCCATGTTTGAGACAAGCTCAGCTCCTGTAAGAAGTGTTGGGATCCGGCTCGAAGGACCAAGTGATAATGCTGTTTCAACCACAGTTGAACCTGATGAAATCTCACACAACAAAGAGACCAAGGTAATCTTTTCCTTGTTACATTTTACAAGGAGAAAGTCTTGACAGAGGCAAGGCACAGTCCCCAGCCCCTCTCAGGACAAGTCTGAAGATCCACAGATGGCAAGCCCCTTTTGGTAGAACAAGACACACCTTCGTATGCAGATGGGAAAGGAAGAAACCAACACAACAAAAGACACTTCGAATTAGCGTATACAAAGACTGCTTCTTCTGGTGTTTAACATATGAGCTCCCCAGACCTCCCGGTGTCTTCCTGAAGCTAAAGTGAATTACAGTACAGAGCATTCAGCATATAGCCACATATGATTTACCAAAATGATAACTTAAGTTACATTCCAATATCAGAGTTCAAACACAGCTGTTTGATAATCCCCATTGTTGTGCTACAGTCTGTGCTGGTTGTAGTTCCCTTGGACTGGAGGTGATCCTCTGACTCACACTGGTCCTGGCCCTGGTCCTGGTCCTGGCCCTGGTCCTGGTCCTGTTTTGTCTGTTGCCCTGATGCGTCCCTGTTTAAAGTAAATACATAAAACCTCATATAAAAACTGCAGGTGTCCTTAAGCCGTTGCTTTTCGTTGCAGTAAAATACTTCATACAGAGTGTTTCAGAGTTCAGAGAGGAGCAGATCTCTGAATGTGAATAAAACGGCACAGACTTCTCCTGTACTAAAGTTTTTACTCCTTTTCCCAAACTATTCCAAGTGTCAAAACGCACAACAGCCTCTGGGGTGAAGCTATTATCGTTACAGCGCTGCAACGGCACAACGGCTGGTTTCTCTGGATTTTCAACATAACGACGGAATGTGTGATAAAGACACGGAACAAATGGAGAAAAAACACATTTATTATTTTTGATTTAACATTAATTTAGGCAGGAAAGTCCCATTGGATTTAAGAACCTCTCCTGGACAAAGGGCACTGAGCTTCAGGAGTTTACTGTTTAATGTAGGTCAATAGGAGCCAGAGAGAGATAGAGCGAAACTTCAACCATGAGCACTTCCCTCTTGGGCTTCACTGAGCGAGGCAGGTTCATCTGCACAGTCTATGGAAACGATATGATGTAAGGCATGACCAATCAGATGCCTTCATTCGTGGGGTAAATTTCAGCTTTCCTTAGCAACCACCATAGCAACACTGCAGAAGCTATGCCCATATAAGGAAAATGGCAGCAGCTAGCTCATGGCAAATCGGCTTCAACTGTATTAAGGCTAACGCTATAGTTAGCACTCGGTCTGTTTTTCAAAGGAATCGACAAGAGGCAGCTAAAGTTACACACAATTACATACATCTGTAAATAATGTATTGTGTGTGTGTGTGTGTGTGTGTGTGTGTCCTAATAAAGAAGAAAGTATGAAATCTTCTAGTGTAAGAAATACGTTGTGTGTACAGTATACATCTGTACATGTTAGCAGCATGAGGTTTGTTTTTAGCCCTAGCTTGCGTCGTGTTAAGCTAATCCGTATTTAGGGCTAATACAAAAAAAATTGAAGGACTAATTTGTCTTTGTTTCGTTCCTCAGGGAAGAGGCCATGCTGTCCACATACTTCGAGAGCGTGGACGACCTACTGGCTTCCTTCGGTCCCGTCAGAGACTGCTCCGAAGACAACGGAGGCTGCAAACGGAACTTCAAATGTGTCACGGACCGACAGATGGACTCCTCCGGCTGTATGGTAAGTGACACCAGAGAGAGACCAGAGAGAGACCAGAGAGAGACCAGAGAGAGACCAGAGAGAGACCAGAGAGAGACCAGAGAGAGAGACCAGAGAGAGACCAGAGAGAGACCAGAGAGAGACCAGAGAGAGACCCGAGAGAGACCAGAGAGAGACCAGAGAGAGACCAGAGAGAGACCAGAGAGAGAGACCAGAGAGAGACCAGAGAGAGACCAGAGAGAGACCAGAGAGAGACCAGAGAGAGACCAGAGAGAGGGACCAGAGAGAGACCAGAGAGAGACCAGCGAGAGACCAGAGAGAGACCAGAGAGAGACCAGAGAGAGACCAGAGAGAGACCAGAGAGAGACCAGAGAGAGAGACCAGAGAGAGACCAGAGAGAGACCAGAGAGAGACCAGAGAGAGACCAGAGAGAGACCAGAGAGAGACCAGAGAGAGAGACCAGAGAGAGACCAGAGAGAGACCAGAGAGAGACCAGAGAGAGACCAGAGAGAGACCAGAGAGAGACCAGAGAGAGACCAGAGAGAGACCAGAGAGAGAGACCAGAGAGAGACCAGAGAGAGACCGGAGAGAGACCAAAGAGAGACCAGAGAGAGACCAGAGAGAGACCAGAGAGAGACCAGAGAGAGACCGGAGAGAGACCGGAGAGAGACCGGAGAGAGACCGGAGAGAGACCGGAGAGAGACCGGAGAGAGACCGGAGAGAGACCGGAGAGAGACCGGAGAGAGACCGGAGAGAGACCAGAGAGAGACCAGGGAGAGAGACCAGAGAGAGACCAGAGAGAGAGACCAGAGAGAGACCAGAGAGAGACCAGAGAGAGAGACCAGAGAGAGACCAGAGAGAGAAATCAGAGAAAGATTTGTGAGAAAACCAACTTGGAGAGTTGAGGTGCAGCAGGTCAGAATCTCCAGGGTGTAATATCTCTCGATCACTAAAGTACGGAGACGTCTCACTTCTCTGAGCGGGAAACTCATGAGTTCTGGAGGTGGGAGAAAAACAGTTTCATATATGAATGAGTCTCAGCACTAACAACCTTTGGACTGTTTGTCCTGCTCTGGACGCGGCGCCTCCGGGAACGCCTTATTAACATTTCATGGGCCGCCCGTGTTCCAGCGGGACACGGGGCGCCGGGACACGGCCCGCCCGGGACACGGCCCGCTGGAATTATACTGCAAACACATGGGCAGCAATTAACAGTGATGTCTGTGAGGAGGAGGAGGAGGAGGAGGAGGAGGAGGAGGAGGAGGAGGAGGAGGAGGAGGAGGAGGAGGACTGTGTCTGGATCAGGTGGATTTACTTAAAGACGGAGAGATACATGTTTGGATTTAGAGAAAGAGGACTGCTTTACAAATAAAAGCACACACAACATAAACAACACACTCATAGACATACTGTATACATACACACACAGACACACACACACAGACACAGACACATACACACACAGACACACACACCCACACACAGACACACACAGACACACACACACAGACACATACACACACAGACACACACACCCACACACAGACACACACAGACACACACACACACACACACACACACACAGACACACACACACAGAATTGTCTCGCCTAAGGACACAACCACAGTTTGAGAGAGACCAGTGAGAGACCTGAGGAACTAGAGAGAGACCAAAGAGAAACCAGAAAGATAGGGACCAGAGAGAGACCAGGGAAAGACCAGAACGAGAAGGACGGGAGAGAGAGGACCAGAGAGAGACCAGACTGTAGCATATTGTCTTAATGATAACGACAGTGTGAGTCTGTAAACGTCAAACTGTGATTCATGATTTTCTCTTTTCTCGCTCAGTTCCAGGATTTGTCTTTAATGAAAGTTTTGGAGAAGAGCAGATGGTGGAAAATCTCAAACTAATCGTTCATAATTTCTCTCCCTCGAGGATCGCTCAAAAAAAGTAGATTTTTAGACGAGTTTTTGTCTTGGTTCCACAAGTCGCTTCACTGAGTCATTAATGTGAAACCTGAGAACACAACGGAGGGTTTCTCTTTTATGGACTGGGATTATATACTGTAGGATTATTTTAACTCTGTCATTGTTTCTGTCTTGGTTTGAGAGACAGACACCAGAGAGACACTAGAGAGAGACACCAGAGAGAGACCAGAGAGAGACCAGAGAGAGACACCAGAGAGAGACCAGAGAGAGACCAGAGAGAGACACCAGAGAGAGACCAGAGAGAGACCAGAGAGAGACCAGAGAGAGAGACCAGAGAGACACTAGAGAGAGACACCAGAGAGAGACCAGAGAGAGACCAGAGAGACACTAGAGAGAGACACCAGAGAGAGACCAGAGAGAGACACCAGAGAGAGACCAGAGAGAGACCAGAGAGAGACACCAGAGAGAGACCAGAGAGAGACCAGAGAGAGACCAGAGAGAGAGACCAGGGAGAGAGACCAAAGAGAGACCAGAGAGAGACCAGAGAGAGACACCAGAGAGAGACCAGAGAGAGACCAGAGAGAGACACCAGAGAGAGACCAGAGAGAGACCAGAGAGAGACCAGAGAGAGACCAGAGAGAGACCAGAGAGAGACCAGGGAGAGAGACCAAACAGAGACCAGAGAGAGACCAGAGAGAGACAGAGAGAGACCAGAGAGAGACACCAAAGAGACACCAGAGAGACCAGAGAGAGACACCAGAGAGAGACACCAGAGAGAGACACCAGAGAGAGACACCAGAGAGAGACACCAGAGAGAGACCAGAGAGAGACACCAGAGAGACACCAGAGAGAGACCAGAGAGAGACACCAGAGAGAGACACCAGAGACAGACACCAGAGAGAGACCAGAGAGAGACCAGAGAGAGACACCAGAGAGAGACCAGAGAGAGACCAGAGAGAGACACCAGAGAGACACCAGAGAGAGACACCAGAGAGAGACACCAGAGAGAGACACCAGAGAGAGACCAGAGAGAGACACTAGAGAGACACCAGAGAGAGACCAGAGAGAGACCAGAGAGAGACCAGAGAGAGAGACCAGAGAGAGACCAGAGAGAGACCAGAGAGAGACCAGAAAGAGAGACCAGAGAGAGACCAGAGAGAGACCAGAGAGAGACCAGAGAGAGACCAGAGAGAGACCAGAGAGAGACCAGAGAGAGACCAGAAAGAGAGACCAGAGAGAGACCAGAGAGAGACCAGAGAGAGACCAGAGAGAGACCAGAGAGAGACCAGAGAGAGACCAGAGAGAGACCAGAGAGAGACCAGAGAGAGAGACCAGAGAGAGACCAGAGTGAGACCAGAGAGAGACCAGAGAGAGACCAGAGAGAGACCAGAGAGAGACCAGAGAGAGACCAGAGAGAGACCAGAGAGAGACCAGAGAGAGACCAGACAAATACAAACATTGACTGATGAATGAAGAGATGAGTGTGTTCATCATCATCACTGCTCAGACACACTTTGCGACCGTGGCGTTCGCGGCGCTCAGGCGACCACGGGAACACAGCCGTTGGTCGTGATGAATTGTCTAATTAGGAGGAGTTTTATTTCTCCAATCTGAGGAGCACGGTCGTGTTTTTCTCCGTGTGCGATATTAAAACACAGGCTAAAGTCGCAGATAAATCATTTGATAAATAGGCTTCATTTTGAGACTGGTCCGGACCATCTGCTCCACATCTGCGGCTGTTATTAACCATGAAGGAGTGTCTGAAAATTAAATTAAAATGAGTCTGGAATTATCATGTTGTTAGCAATTTATTCTACTGACCCCGTAGCACCCTCGGTTAAATATATGCAGCGTAAAGTTCAACGGTTTTGGCAAAAAAAGAACTCTTTGGTTCAATGCAATAATTAATGTATTTACCCAAGAACCCATCCATCTTCTACCCTTCAATCCATTTCTGGGTCAGGGGGGTGGCAGTCAGAGATGCCACCCAAGTCTCATAGCACCAGCCCCTCACTGACCCTCTGCAGGTGGTGAGTCCACAGGAGGACGGCTGCTCTCTGAGTATGAGCATAGCCTTGATCTTTCAGTGGGGGCTTTGGGCAAAGTGGGGTTAAGTGTCTTGCCCAAGGACACAACGACAGCAGTCATCAGTGGGAGTCGGTGGAGAAGGTGTTGAGGTGGGAATTGAACCCACAACCTTCAGGCCTGAAGGCCAATGCTCTACCAACTGAGCTACTGCAAGAACCCAAAGAAGCTAATATGCTACATGCTAAAGCTGGTAACTGATGCTAGCACCAAGTACTATTTTTATCTTCTATGAGGGTAAATCAGGGACTGGCCTCCTGCTGGGACTCTGAGGAGCACAGGGACTGGCCTCCTGCTGGGACTCTGAGGAGCACAGGGACTGGCCTCCTGCTGGGACTCTGAGGAGCACAGGGACTGGGCTCCTGCTGGGACTCTGAGGAGCACAGGGACTGGGCTCCTGCTGGGACTCTGAGGAGCACAGGGACTGGCCTCCTGCTGGGACTCTGAGGAGCACAGGGACTGGCCTCTCGCCCTGTCTCTCTCTCACTCTCTCTCTCGCCCTCTCTCTTTCACCCTGTCTCTCTCTCACTCTCTCTCTCGCCCTCTCTCTTTCACCCTGTCTCTCTCGCCCTGTCTCTCTTGCCCTCTCTCTCTCGCCCTCTCTCTTTCACCCTGTCTCTCTCTCACTCTCTCTCTCGCCCTCTCTCTTTCACCCTGTCTCTCTCGCCCTGTCTCTCTTGCCCTCTCTCTCTCGCCCTCTCTCTTTCACCCTCTCTCTCTCGCCCTCTCTCTTTCACCCTCTCTCTTTCACCCTGTCTCTCTTGCCCTCTCTCTCTCGTCCTCTCTCTCTCGCCCTCTCTCTATCACCCTCTCTCTATCACCCTGTCTCTCTCGCCCTCTCTCTCTCGCCCTCTCTCTCTCGTCCTCTCTCTCTCGCCCTGTCGCTCTCTCGTCCTCTCTCTCTCGTCCTCTCTCTCTCGCCCTCTCTCTCTCGCCCTCTCTCTTTCACCCTCTCTCTTTCACCCTGTCTCTCTCGCCCTCTCTCTCTCGTCCTCTCTCTCTCGTCCTCTCTCTCTCGCCCTCTCTCTCTCGCCCTCCCTCTTCCTGCGTCGTCAGATATTTGTCATTGACTTACACCATCAAGGAGAGAATTTCAATTATCTGTGGAGCGGGGGTTTCTCACGGTGGCTAACGGACGCGGCGCTAGCTAGCAGCTCACCCCGCTCCTTCTATTGGTGCTCACTTCAGGACAATGGGGGATTACAGACAGCTTTTCCCTGGCTGCCTCGCTGTGATGAATGGGCCCAATCTCCCCATGGCTGGAGAAGCATCACATCCACACGTTCCTTTCACCGACAAGATCTGAGCAACACACAAGACGAGGAACACACACTACTCTACACTACACTACACTAGACTACACTAGACTAGACTAGACTAGACTAGACTAGACTAGACTACACACACTACACTAGGTCAGAGGGAGAGACCAGCAAGAGACCAGAGATAGAGGCCAGAAAGAGACTATTGAGAGAGAGACCAGAGAGAGACCAGAGAGAGACCAGAGAGAGACCAGAGAGAGAGACCAGAGAGAGACCAGAGAGA